CAGTGAGCTCACGCCTTGCTGCAGTGAGCTCACGCCTTGCTGCAGTGAGCTCACGCGTTGCTGCAGTGAGCTCACGCGTGGCTGCAGTGAGCTCACGCGTTGCTGCAGTGAGCTCACGCCTTGCTGCAGTGAGCTCACGCCTTGCTGCAGTGAGCTCACGCGTTGCTACAGTGAGCTCACGCCTTGCTGCAGTGAGCTCACGCCTTGCTGCAGTGAGCTCACGCGTTGCTGCAGTGAGCTCACGCGTTGCTGCAGTGAGCTCACGCGTTGCTGCAGTGAGCTCACGCCTTGCTGCAGTGAGCTCACGCGTTGCTGCAGTGAGCTCACGCGTTGCTGCAGTGAGCTCACGCCTTGCTGCAGTGAGCTCACGCCTTGCTGCAGTGAGCTCACGCGTTGCTGCAGTGAGCTCACGCGTTGCTGCAGTGAGCTCACGCGTTGCTGCAGTCAGCTCACGCCTTGCTGCAGTGAGCTCACGCCTTGCTGCAGTGAGCTCACGCGTTGCTGCAGTGAGCTCACGCGTTGCTGCAGTGAGCTCACGCGTTGCTGCAGTGAGCTCACGCCTTGCTGCAGTGAGCTCACGCGTTGCTCCAGTGAGCTCACGCCTTGCTGCAGTGAGCTCACGCCTTGCTGCAGTGAGCTCACGCCTTGCTGCAGTGAGCTCACGCCTTGCTGCAGTGAGCTCACGCGTTGCTGCAGTAAGCTCACGCGTTGCTGCAGTGAGCTCACGCGTTGCTGCAGTGAGCTCACGCGTTGCTGCAGTGAGCTCACGCCTTGCTGCAGTGAGCTCACGCGTTGCTGCAGTGTGCTCACGCGTTGCTGCAGTGAGCTCACGCCTTGCTGCAGTGAGCTCACGCCTTGCTGCAGTGAGCTCACGCCTTGCTGCAGTGAGCTCACGCCTTGCTGCAGTGAGCTCACGCCTTGCTGCAGTGAGCTCACGCGTTGCTGCAGTGAGCTCACGCGTTGCTGCAGTGAGCTCACGCGTTGCTGCAGTGAGCTCACGCGTTGCTGCAGTGAGCTCACGCGTTGCTGCAGTGAGCTCACGCCTTGCTGCAGTGAGCTCACGCCTTGCTGCAGTGAGCTCACGCATTGCTGTAGTGAGCTCACGCCTTGCTGCAGTGAGCTCACGCCTTGCTGCAGTGAGCTCACGCATTGCTGCAGTGAGCTCACGCGTTGCTGCAGTGAGCTCACGCGTTGCTGCAGTGAGCTCACGCCTTGCTGCAGTGAGCTCACGCCTTGCTGCAGTGAGCTCACGCCTTGCTGCAGTGAGCTCACGCCTTGCTGCAGTGAGCTCACGCGTTGCTGCAGTGAGCTCACGCGTTGCTGCAGTGAGCTCACGCGTTGCTGCAGTGAGCTCACGCGGTTGCTGCAGTGAGCTCACGCCTTGCTGCAGTGAGCTCACGCCTTGCTGCAGTGAGCTCACGCCTTGCTGCAGTGAGCTCACGCGTTGCTGCAGTGAGCTCACGCCTTGCTGCAGTGAGCTCACGCCTTGCTGCAGTGAGCTCACGCGTTGCTGCAGTGAGCTCACGCGTTGCTGCAGTGAGCTCACGCGTTGCTGCTGTGAGCTCACGCCTTGCTGCAGTGAGCTCACGCCTTGCTGCAGTGAGCTCACGCGTTGCTGCAGTGAGCTCACGCCTTGCTGCATTGAGCTCACGCGTTGCTGCAGTGAGCTCACGCGTTGCTGCAGTGAGCTCACGCGTTGCTGCAGTGAGCTCACGCGTTGCTGCAGTGAGCTCACGCCTTGCTGCAGTGAGCTCACGCGTTGCTGCAGTGAGCTCACGCGTTGCTGCAGTGAGCTCACGCCTTGCTGCAGTGAGCTCACGCGTTGCTGCAGTGAGCTCACGCGTGGCTGCAGTGAGCTCACGCGTTGCTGCAGTGAGCTCACGCCTTGCTGCAGTGAGCTCACGCCTTGCTGCAGTGAGCTCACGCGTTGCTGCAGTGAGCTCACGCGTTGCTGCAGTGAGCTCACGCGTTGCTGCAGTGAGCTCACGCGTTGCTGCAGTGAGCTCACGCCTTGCTGCAGTGAGCTCACGCGTTGCTGCAGTGAGCTCACGCCTTGCTGCAGTGAGCTCACGCCTTGCTGCAGTGAGCTCACGCGTTGCTGCAGTGAGCTCACGCCTTGCTGCTGTGAGCTCACGCCTTGCTGCAGTGAGCTCACGCCTTGCTGCAGTGAGCTCACGCATTGCTGCAGTGAGCTCACGCCTTGCTGCAGTGAGCTCATGCCTTGCTGCAGGGAGCTCACGCCTTGCTGCAGTGAGCTCATGCCTTGCTGCAGTGAGCTCATGCCTTGCTGCAGTGAGCTCATGCCTTGCTCATGCCTTTGGTTATCTTTTGTACTTATCATATTTCTTTCAAGTTCCATTTCACAATCAAGTGCGTGTTCGTCATTGAATAGTTCACTCCGTTTTCCGACTACAATTCATTTTCTGCTTGACCTGTTTGTTTTGCAAGGTGTGCGAGACGCGTTGTGGGGAGCAGGGAGGGATCGAGAGAGAAGACAATGTGGAAATGGGTGGGAGGAGATTTCGATGGTAGAGGGAGAGGAAGGAAGGAAGAAAGGGGGAGTAAGGGGGGGGGACAAGGTAGCAGTGATTGATACATAATTAACTTATTGCAACTCTTTGTTATGCTTGTCTGCTCCCAAACCTATTTGTGTATGTATGTGTGTGCGGTGCGGGTGTGTTTGTGCGTGTGTGTGTTTATGTGTTGTCATTGTGTTTGTTTCACTGTGGGGTTTTACGCGCGTTTGCATTCGTGTTTGTGGGATGTGTGTTTCAAAGTGTGGTGTTAGTATGTGTTATGTATGCAATTAGAGGTTGTTAATCGTCTTTGGGGCAGCGTGTTTTCGCTGTTTCAACGACCCCATCAACCTCTGTTGCTGCATGATGCATTTTAACATTCATTTTGAAGCATTCACTCCACCTCATACCTTGTTGTTCATTTGTACAATTGCATTCGTTCATGTCGATGCCAGAATGTTATGTCCGGCCGTACAATCCGCCGTATTTATCGACGAGGTTGTGACGGTCGAGCAAGTTCATGGTTTCAACATGATAGGTACGTGCTTACATGTTTTGGGGATCTCATTCAAGAGTGTTTTTTATCCACTCTTTGAGGCATCCGTTTGAACACAGTTTCAAAACATTCAAACGAGTGCTCCAAAAAGTGCGTAAATAACACTCTTTGAATGATATCCCCAAAATGTGAAACCAAATAAAAAGGGTTGCTACGCAACCCAAAAACAATTATTAACCGTTTGACGCGCTAACCCACCTCTCCCCCCGCCACTTTCTGTCACCCGCGCTCCGCCTGGCGCAATCCTTCCCCACCCACTGACACCACTTTTGTTCGACCCTGGTCACCGTCGAGCCAACACCACCCCCTCACTCAGCGAGCGAGAATCACCACTTTGGGTTGACGCTGGTCGTCACCGTCGAGCCAGCACCACCCCCTCACCCAGCAAGGGAGAATCACCACTGTGGGTTGACTCTGGTCACCCTCGTCAAGCGACACTCCCAGATTCGCAAGGCCTTCCACTCCACCGCTTTCTCCCACATTCCCACACCTCCATTGTTCCGACTTCTCTACTCACCAGACCTCAAGGCCACCATGAATCTCATGTTAAGTACCGTCCATGTATTTTCACCGTGGCTCCCGTCGCCATGTCTTCTCATCTCGCCATGGATATTAGTATTGTCTCAGTCTCCATGATCCCCTTCTGCTTGGGGTAAAACGGCTCGTTTACAGAACGGAATTTGGTGGGGAAGTAGTTTCCTCAATACAGCGTGGTTTTCGCGGTGGTTTAGTTCTACACGTTCTGGAGGTTCCGCTAAGCTGATATCATTCTAGATTTAATCCCGGGAGGCTCAAGCAGCATTATCACCTCAAGAGCGTCTGTGATTCCTACGGATTTTCCGCATGCAACCATTTGAGGATAATGGCGACGTTGCGGATGCTGGCGACTTCCGCATGCGAGTCGACGATGCATCTGACGACGTCCATACGAATCCGACGACGAAGCGGGATTTCGTCGTTCTGTGGTCCATGATATACACACATGGATACTCACCACTCAGTTCGCCATGGTAAGTTACAGCATTTTTACAAAGCAATCTTTCAGCGCTTTGCGTATTGAAATCTTAAGTGATTCTTCGTTACGCTTATTTTGTTCGAAACCTGAATGCTCACAAGGTGATTTGATGATGTGTGATTTGACTTGTGCAGGTGACCCAAGAGCCTGCTGAAGAACGGAGGGTTCGGCCACCGCTGCTGCAGTTGAATAACGAGTGCTGCTGCACCGTCATTGCGATTCAGCAGCCTGGAGCTGCACGACCGTCAGTGCGATTCGGCAGCCTGGAGCTGCGCGACCGTCAGTGCGATTCAGCAGCATGGAGATGCGCGACCGTCATTGCGATTCAGCAGCCTGGAGCTGCGCGACCATCAGTGCGAGTCAGCAGGCTGGAGCTGCGCGACCATCAGTGCGATTCAGCAACCTGGAACTGCGCGAGCGTCAGCGCGATTCAGCAACCTGGAGCTGCGTGAGCGTCAGCGCGATTCAGCAACCTGGAGCTGCGCGAGCGTCAGTGCGATTCAGCAACCTGGAGCTGCGCGACCGTCAGTGCGATTCAGCAGCCTGGAGCTGCGCGACCATCAGTGCGATTCAGCAGCCTGGAGCTGCGCGGAGAAATGACGCTGCTGGCGAGGAGGCCACGAAGCTCGTGAAGTTTCTACGAAGCATCCCGCCATGGTAAGTTGAAGCAATGTTTCAGCGTATTGAGATTCCGAGCATTGTTTCATTCAGCATTCCTAAGAAATCCCGAGTGATGTTTCCCGAGTTGCTTTTATTCGTTAGCGACTGAATGTTCAGGCACTGATGCTGACCGGCTTGACTTGTGCAGGTCCAAGGCTTGCTGCTGCACTTCGCTGCTCTCCTTCTGAGCCTAATGATGAGGAGCAACAGCTGCTGATCTTGATGAGGAGCAACGACTGCTGCTTCATCAGCGATGCTGCTCACCACTGAGGCGATGCTGCTCACCACTGAGGCGATGCTGCTCACCACTGAGGCGATGCTGCTCACCACTGAGGCGATGCTGCTCACCACTGAGGCGATGCTGCTCACCACTGAGGCGATGCTGCTCACCACTGAGGCGATGCTGCTCACCACTGAGGCGATGCTGCTCACCACTGAGGCGATGCTGCTCACCACTGAGGCGATGCTGCTCACCACTGAGGCGATGCTGCTCACCACTGAGGCGATGCTGCTCACCACTGAGGCGATGCTGCTCACCACTGAGGCGATGCTGCTCACCACTGAGGCGATGCTGCTCACCACTGAGGCGATGCTGCTCACCACTGAGGCGATGCTGCTCACCACTGAGGCGATGCTGCTCACCACTGAGGCTATGCTGCTCACCACTGATGCGATGCTGCTCACCACTGAGGCGATGCTGCTCACCACTGAGGCGATGCTGCCCACCACTGAGGCGATGCTGCTCACCACTGAGGCGATGCTGCTCACGACTGCTGGCGCACCAGAGGAACTTGTGAGTTGCCTTTCCTACGTTGCCTTCCCTACGTTAGCTGAATCTGTTCTTTAGCACTTTCAATGTTGGAAACCTGAATGATTCTTTTTTATTCGTTGCTTTTTTAGGAACTCTGTTATCTAGTCACTGATGCTGACCACTGCTCGCCTCTCAGGGAGCACGGCGCACTCAAGGGAGCTGGCGAGCGGCAAACTGCGGTAGCGGCGAGGAGGACGGAGGCGGACGGAGGGACGGCTGAGGCGAGGAGGAACGGGCGCCGCTGCCTCGACCCCTGCCTGCTGATATAAGGCTAAGATATCTCGTTTATTCACGCACTTGTTGGCACTTCTTCGCGCTTGCTTGCTTCCGCCCTCATAGCCGCCTCCTCCTCCTCGCGCCACTCGTTCCTCCTCCTCCAGCTCGCACCGGCGGCACCATTGGACCATTCCCCAGGTGTGTCCAGGTAACGGCGGCATCATGCGTAAGTAGGTGTGCTCAGGTACGGTACGGTCCTTTGGTGCCCGCCATGCAGCTGCCACCCACCACCCCGCCTGCGCTGCTGCTGCCACTGCCGCTGCCGCTGCCGCTGCCGCTTCCGCTCGCACTGTCACTCGCTCCACTGCACTGCACTGTCACTGCCACTCACACCACCTTCACGTGATGCATGTTTTCCAGCTTTTTTTGTCTTGCATTTTTTGTTGCTTGCATGTATGCTTGTCAGTTTTCCATATCTCTTACTAATCATTTTCCATATCTCGCTTGGCAGCGAGGGGGAGGTAGCGACGGCTCTGGTGGTATGGCTTTCGCCGCCGCGGCCAACTGTGGGTTACATGAATCTCTATGCTGGCCGTATTCCGTTTTGTTTCACTCTGATTTGCTTTTCGGGCTTCCGTTGTGTTTATTGGCTTGCTAATCGCCCGCTTCGTTTTTCCGCCTGTGCTAATAATCTGTTTTTTTTTCTTTCGCTGCAGCGCGCACTCACACGAGGTGCCTTCTCTCCTCGTCGAGGCGCCTCTCCTCAAGCTCCAAGTGGTGGTGGGAGTGTCGCTCCACGTCGGTAGCGGCGACCCGCGCCTTCGACGCCATGGCCAACGGTGGGTTACCTGAATCCATATACTTGCCTTGATCTGTTTCTTTCGCGCTAACGTTTCCTGATTTGCTGTTCTGGCTTCCGTTGCTGATCGTCTGTCTTTCATATTTTCGTTTGTGCTGATAATCTTCACTACAGAGATCACTGGACCGCTGCTCCTGAGCACTGCTGCCCAACGGCTGCTGCCGAACGACTGAGGCGAGGAGGAATGGCGCCACTGCCGCACTGGAGGAACGTGTGAGTTGCCTTCCCTTCGTTGCGTTCCCTACGTTAGCTGAATCTGTTTTTTAGCACCTTCAATATTGGAAGCTGAATCTGTTCTCTTTTAGCACCTTCAGTACTGGAAGCTGAATCTGTAATTTGGCACCTTCAGTATTGGAAATTGAATCTGGTTTTCTTCTGCACCTTCAATACGTTGCCACCGTCCATTGTTTTCTTCTTTCCTTGGTTCCTTTGTTCCTCTCCCCCATCTCTTTCCGCCCTTTTCAGTGCACACGGCAAGCAGCAAGGCAGAGTGTGCCTGCCTGCCCTCTCGACACCGGCAGCAGAAAGGCCAGGGGGCAACGCTGTTGGTGAGGATGCGACGCGATGACGCGAGGAGGCGAAGGTGCTGACTTGCGCAGCTGAGGAGGCGAGGGGGCGACAAGGAGGCAAGGGGCTGCTAGTGAGGAGGCGAGGCGTGGGCGAACCTGCCTCCTCCTCCCACCTGCGACCCAACTTATGTGAGTTCCCTACCCGCCCAGCTTACCTCGTGCGCTGGCTCACCTCCTTGTCTCCACGTGCTCTCCTGCCCGTCCTTGCAGAGGCACAGGGCTGACGTGACACTGGGGCACCACGCATGGGCGTGGGGAGGCCAGGAGGTGCAGAGGAGAGGAGAGGAGGTGCCAGAATCACTGACTGGCGGGGCTCCTCTGCCATTCACCTTGTAAGCTGCCCTCCACCACTCGTTCCGCCCTGGTGCATTGAAATCTTAGCGCCCTTTTTTTCCTGTTTTTGTCAGATCCGAATAGCCATGGACTGATGACGTGCTCTGTCACTTGTGAAGGTCGCCCACGCACTTGAGGCGAGGAGGCAGAGGTAGCTACGGGGGGGTGGGATGACGCACGGCCTGGGCGTGCCCTGCCGACCACTGCTGTCCCTGCATGCACCTCCCGGCAGCAGCAGCACCAGCAGACATTGGACATTGAGCCATTGGTTTGGACATTGGTTTGGACATTGGAATGGACATTGGCTAGCTAGGGGCAACACCAGCAGACATTGGACATTGAGCCATTGGTTTGGACGTTGGTTTGGAACATTGGTTTGGACATTGAGCCATTGGTTTGGACATTGGTTTGGACATTGGATTGGACATTGGCTAGCTAGGGGCAGTGCCCTGAGGCAAGCGGGCAGAGGCCCGAGTGTGTGAGGCACACGCGGCAACGGCAGGGGCGAGCTCGACTGGTGAGTGCATGCTTGCAGCACGGTGTGTGCACAGGCGTGGGTGCGCGCTCGTGCGTTGCTGCACCGCCTTCAACGCGCCACCTTCGGGACTAACGAGACTCCGCCTTGCTGCAGACTGCAGCACCTCCAGCGCCCACACTCACGGTACGTCGCTCGTCGTGTTCCCGTCTTTCCTTGTTGCTGCTGTCTCTTCTTTCTTCGCTCCGTTCGCTTCCTTGCTTGTTCACGGTTCCTCGACTCACCACCGTGCTTGCTGTTCCATGCAGCACACTCAACGCAAGCGCATGCAAAGGGAGGGGAAGCGTGTGGGCGTGTGGCTGACGTGGACGGCGTGTGGCTGATGTGGACGGCGTGTGGCTGACGTGGACGGCGTGTGGCTGACGTGGACGGCGTGTGGCTGACGTGGACGCGAGCGTGTTGGGATGACGCACGGCCGGCAGTCACAGGCGTGTGGCTGCCTCCTACCCGCCCTGCTGGCCACGCGCTCGGAGGCAAGGCGCGGAGGAGCAGACGAGGAGGCGGCGAGGTGGAGCGGAACGATGGATGGGTGGAGGAGGATGGATGGGTGCTGCACTGCACCTGTGCAAGGAGGCGGGTGGCGACTGGAGGGGCGGAGGCTGCTGCACTGCACCTGCGGGATGGCGGCAGTGGGATGACGCACGGCAGGCACCACTGCTGCCCTGCTGCTGACCACTGCTCGCCTGTGGAGGAACGGCGAGGCGAGGAGGGAGAAGTGCCGCTGCGGGAGTGCGCGTGCATGCAGCTTCGACCCCTCCTGAATACGGCTAAGAGATCTCCCTTCTGTTGAAATTTTCATGCTCTTGTTTGCACTCGTTCTTTCATTGCTCGCCTTCGCCATCATTGCCACTACCTCCTCCTCTCGCCACATGTGTTGATCGATGATGCTTCGGCTGTGCGTGTGCCTGCTGCGGCGCATAAATCCTTCATTCCCTCTCTCCCACGTGCGCGGTGGGATGACGCACGGCCGGCAGTCACGGGCGTGTGGCTGCCTCCTACCCGCCCTGCTGACCACGCGCTCGGAGGCAAGGCGCGGAGGCGGCACTTGGGGCGAGGCGGCGGCAAGGAGGCAGCGCTGCGACGAGGCGTCTTCCTCCCACGTGTGCTGGCTTCTCCCCGTGCGTCCATGGGGTGAGGCGGAGGAACGAGACGGAGCGACTGACGGGCTGGCTGAGGCGATGCTTAGGTTGAAGGGGATGCTGTCGTATGGGGATGGGGAGTCACGCCAAGGGAATCTGACGGCTTGATCCTTGAGTGGGGCGGGCGCCCTCTACTCTTTCCGGATCTCGTCCTGAAGTGTGTAAGGGTGAGGGCAATGCACGAGGACAATGATGTACTTGATCACTTTGTCCCACACCAGCTCCACATTATATAGTTTTGGACTTTGACAGGAGAAGCGTGGTCTCACCTGGGGATTCATCATCACTTCTATATACCACGCGAGCCCACCCAGAAATTACCATCACCAACAGGGCAAGGACTCACCTAGCAAGGGATCCCGAGGTGAGCCCTTGCTCTGTTGGTGATGGATATGACTAGGTGGGCTCGCGTAGGATATATATGTGATGATGAATCCCCAGGTGGGACCACGCTTTTAAACTCAAAGTCCAAACTTTTACAGTGTGGAGCTGGTGCGGGACATAGTGATCGAGTACATCACTGCCCTCGTGCATTGCCCTCACCCTTGCACCCGCCCTTGGCCTCTGCTCCTCGTCTTTTCCTTCAGCACCTTCGCCGCCTCTTCCATGCCTTGACGTCCTCCTGAACCGCACTCCGTCCTCACTTCTCCCCCATCTATTCCCTTCAGTTCGGGCGTTCACGCGAGAGAGACGCAAGGATGGCGAGGGGGTAGCGCGCCGGGGCAGCAGTGGAGGCGTTCTCTACATAACCCCCCCTTCCTTCCCTTCAGCATGGCGGGTGGCGCGAGGCGGTTGAGGGGACAGCGCGGCGGGGCAACAGCGGAGGCTGCTGCACTGCACCTGTGGGATGGATGGGTGGGTGCTGCACTGCACCTGTGCAAGGAGGCGGGTGGCGACTGGAGGGGCGGAGGCTGCTGCACTGCACCTGTGGGATGGATGGGTGGGTGCTGCACTGCACCTGTGGGATGTCGGCAGTGGGATGACGCACGGCAGGCACCACTGCTGCCCTGCTGATCACTGCTCGCCTGCGGAGGAAAGGCAAGGCGAGGAGGGAGAAGTGCCGCTGCTGGCGAGCGCGCGTGCATGGAGCTTCGACCCCTCCGGAATACGGCTAAGAAATCACTCTTCTCTCGATATTTTCACGCTCTTGTTTGCACTCGCTCTTTCACTGTTCGCCTTCGCCGTCATTGCCACTACCTCCTCCTCTCGCCACTCGTGAGTGTGCCTGCTGCTTACTGCCTTGTGTGTGCTTGCGTGTTCGGTTGTAAGAGTGCCTGCTGCTTACCGCCGTTGACTTTTGAGTCAACTCGTGTTCGGTTGTAAGAGTGCCTGCTGCTTACTGCCGTTGACTTTTGAGTCAACTCGTGTTCGGTTGTAAGTGTCTGCTGACTGCCTTGTGTGTGCCACCCACACCACCTTCACTTGATGCATGCTTTTCAGTTCTTTTTTCATCGTGTTCCCCCACAGCCTGCAATCTTTGTCAGATTTCCGTATCGCTGCATTCTTTGTCAGATTTCCGTATCGCTGCATTCTTCACTCCTTCATTTTCTCTCCTACGTGCGCACAGGCTGTGGGGGAGCGAGCGTGTTGGGATGACGCACGGCCGGCATTCACAGGCGTGTGGCTGCCTCCTACCCGCCCTGCTGACCACGCGCTCGGAGGCAAGCCGCTGAGGCAGCGCTGCGTCGAGGCGTCTTTCTCCCACGTGTGCTGGCTTCTCCCCCTGCGTCCATGGGGTGAGGCGGAAGAACGAGATGGAGAGACTGACGGGCTGGCTGAGGCGATTACAAGGAGGGGTGCTGTTGAATGGAGAGTGAGCGCCATGCAGAGACGAGGGGCTGAGGGACTCGGTCATTTGAGAGTGGGGGGCCCCAGCTCTCTCTTGGTCTTGTCCTGAAGCACGGGGCCACCCTCGGCCTCTGCGGGCTACTCACATACCTCCAGCACCTTGGCCCTTGGATCTGCACTCTTCCATGCCTCTGTCCCACGTCCTCCTGACCCGCACTCCGTCCTCACTCCTCCCCCTTCCATTCCCTTCAGTTCAGGCCTTCACGTGGAGGGCGAGGGGGCAGCGCGGCGAGGCAGCAGTGGAGGCGTTCTCTGCTAAATCCCCGCCTTCCTTCCTTCAGGGCTTCACGGGGGCAGCGCGGCGGGGCAGCAGTGGAGGCGTTCTCTGCTAAATCCCCGCCTTCCTTCCTTCAGGGCTTCACGGGGGCAGCGCGGCGGGGCAGCAGTGGAGGCGTTCTCTGCTAAATCCCCGCCTTCCTTCCTTCAGGGCTTCAAGGGGGCAGCGCGGCGGGGCAGCAGTGGAGGCGTTCTCTGCTAAATCCCCGCATTCCTTCCTTCAGGGCTTCACGGGGGCAGCGCGGCGGGGCAACAGTGGAGGCGTTCTCTGCTAAATCCCCGCCTTCCTTCCTTCAGGGCTTCACGGGGGGCAGCGCGGCGGGACAGCAGTGGAGGCGCTCTCTGCTAAATCCCCGCCTTCCTTCCTTCAGGGCTTCACGGGGGGCAGCGCGGCGGGGCAGCAGTGGAGGCGTTCTCTGCTAAATCCCCGCCTTCCTTCCTTCAGGGCTTCACGGGGGCAGCGCGGCGGGGCAGCAGTGGAGGCGTTCTCTGCTAAATCCCCGCCTTCCTTCCTTCAGGGCTTCACGGGGGCAGCGCGGCGGGGCAGCAGTGGAGGCGTTCTCTGCTAAATCCCCGCCTTCCTTCCTTCAGGGCTTCACAGGGGCAGTGCGGCGGGGCAGCAGTGGAGGCGTTCTCTGCTAAATCCCCGCCTTCCTTCCTTCAGGGCTTCACGGGAGGCAGCGCGGCGGGGCAGCAGTGGAGGCGTTCTCTGCTAAATCCCCGCCTTCCTTCCTTCAGGGCTTCACGGGGGCAGCGCGGCGGGGCAGCAGTGGAGGCGTTCTCTGCTAAATCCCCGCCTTCCTTCCTTCAGGGCTTCACGGGGGCAGCGCGGCGGGGCAGCAGTGGAGGCGTTCTCTGCTAAATCCCCGCATTCCTTCCTTCAGGGCTTCACGGGGGCAGCGCGGCGGGGCAACAGTGGAGGCGTTCTCTGCTAAATCCCCGCCTTCCTTCCTTCAGGGCTTCACGGGGGGCAGCGCGGCGGGACAGCAGTGGAGGCGTTCTCTGCTAAATCCCCGCCTTCCTTCCTTCAGGGCTTCACGGGGGGCAGCGTGGCGGGGCAGCAGTGGAGGCGTTCTCTGCTAAATCCCCGCCTTCCTTCCTTCAGGGCTTCATGGGGGCAGCGCGGAGGGGCAGCAGTGGAGGCGTTCTCTGCTAAATCCCCGCCTTCCTTCCTTCAGGGCTTCACGGGTAGCGCGGGGCGAGGTGGCAGCGCAGGGGGCATCAAGAGGCGCCTTTTTGCAATAACCCCCCCCCCTTCCCTTCAGCATGGCAGGTAGCGCGGCCGCACGGAGGGCGACACGGACGGAGGTACGATGTCTTGTTCCTTGCTTTTCACTTTCTCCTGTTTTCGTATTTGCTCCTGCTTTTTCGCATTGCATGTGTTGTGTTTGTCGTCCTCCCCCCCCCCCCTCCCCTCCCCTCCCCTCCCCTCCCCTCCCTCCCCCTCCCTCCCCTCCCCTCCCCTCTCCTCCCCTCCCCTCCCCACTCCCCTTCCCTGCAGTGTCAGTGGAAGTGGGGCGGCAGGCCGGGTGACACGGACGGAGGTACGATGTCTTGCTCCTTGCTTTTCACTTGCTCCTGTTTTCGCATTTGCTCCTGCTTTTTTGCATTGCATGTGTCGTGTTCGTCTTGCATGTGTTGTGTTGGTCGTCCCCCCCCCCCCCCCCTCCCCCTCCCCTCCCTTCCCCTCCCCTCCCCTCCCCTCCCTCCCCCTCCCTCCCCCTCCCCTCCCCTCCCCTCCCCTCCCCACTCCCCTTCCCTGCAGTGTCAGTGGAAGTGGGGCGGCAGGCCGGGCGACACGGACGGAGGTACGATGTCTTGCTCCTTGCTTTTCACTTGCTCCTTTTTTCGTATTTGCTCCTGCTTTTTTGCATTGCATGTGTTGTGTTCGTCTTGCATGTGTTGTGTTGGTCTTCCCCCCCCCCCCCCCCTCCCCTCCCAAGACGTCCAAGGACCAAGGCCCAAGACGTCCAAGGACCAAGGCCCAAGACGTCCAAGGACCAAGAGGGCAGGCATTAGGGGGGACGCCTCCTGACGCCTGCAGACGTCCAAGATGGCAGGTGTTAGGGGGGACGCCTCCTGACGCCTGCGAACGTCTGTTTTTTTCTAACCCACCCCCCGTTGTTCCCATGCAGGTCCCACACAAAGGGTCCCCACCTCAACGTGGTGTGTGGGTGTAACACTAGGGGTTAACCCCCCTAGTGGCCAAGAGGGACCCGGAAGACCCAAGACGATGGCGCTCTCTATTGTTGCCCGCACGATTTTTGATATATATATAGTTGCCTAATTAGTTTTAGATTTGGTTAGATTATCAATCAGATACCTTCATGTGCAGCACCTTCATGTAGTTCAACATTTACCAGGGAAGCATATGGTGCAATGTAGCAGCTAAACAGAATGGCTTACATAACAGTAAAAGGATCTTTAGCATTCAGAATATTATTTCATGCAAACCAACAGTGGCAGCATGCAACAGAGGCAACAGAGGCAACAGCATGCAACAGTGACATGGCAACATTTCTTCCCAAACATGGCACATTGCCACTTGTGTTGCGACTTCTGGCAATGCTGTGTGCTGCAGAGGCATCACCAACAGGGAGTCTCTGCGCGTAACAGCATGCCCAAGTATGAAGTATTGCTTTCCAGTGTGCTTTGCTGTGCCACATGCTGAGATGTTAAGGAAATGCTGTGCTGTCGATTGTTCTGCTTGCTGTTCTGTGCTGTGTTGTGCGCTGTGTTGTGCGCTGTTTTGTGCGCTGTGTTGCGTGTTGTGTGCTGTGCTGTGTCGAAGCTGTGTGGTGTGCAGTCACCTGTGCTGTGTCGAAGCTGTGTGGTGTGCAGTCACCTGTGCTGTGTCGAAGCTGTGTGGTGTGCAGTCACCTGTGCTGTGTCGAAGCTGTGTGGTGTGCAGTCACCTGTGGTGTGTGCTGTGTATGCAGTGCTGTGCTCTGTTGTGTGCTCTGCTGTGTGCTGTGCTGTGTGCTGTGCTGTGCTGTTCTGTGTGCTGTCACAAGCCACCCACACATGCTGCACACATGCCACGCACATGCTGGCCACTTATATTCACCACAGCCTCAGTCACAGCAGGTGAGAGCCTGGCAGTTCGAGGAGAACACGGGCAGGAAAGCATTATCAGTGCACGGCTTGAGCGAGTGTGTGTGCTGGGAGCTCACAATTTTGGACACTGCTAGACACATGAGTGTATGCGCGCTGAGAAAGTTGTGCGCTGAGTCACATTGGGACCAGAAGTAGGGAGCACATGTGCTGGGAGCACGACCGGGCGAAAATGTGTGCTGGGTGTATGTGTGCTGAGTATATGCGCTGGGAGCGGGGATATGTGGTGAGAATGAGATTTTGTGGGTGTGAAAGTGACCGATGTAAATGATTATGCAGCGCGGTGAAGCACATGCATGTGAGAGCACCTGCTGAGCGGCACCTGCTGTCGGGACTCGGGAGCACCTGCTGAGCATGCAGAGGCTGCGGCTGAGACCGGCCGAGCGCCATCCGCTGAGCGCCGTCCGCCGAATGCCATTCCGCGGAGCGCCATCCGCCGAACGCCATCCGCTGAGTGGCACCTGCTGTCATCAGCACCTGCTGTCATCAGCACCTGCTGTCATCAGCACCTGCTGTCATCAGCACCTGCTGTCATCAGCACCTGCAGTCATCAGCACCTGCTGTCATCAGCACCTGCAGTCATCAGCACCTGCTGTCATCAGCACCTGCTGTTATCAGCACCTGCTGTCATCAGCACCTGCAGTCATCAGCACCTGCTGTCATCAGCACCTGCTGTCATCAGCACCTGCTGACATCAGCACCTGCTGTCATCAGCACCTGCTGTCATCAGCACCTGTTGTCATCAGCACCTGCTGTCATCAGCACCTGCTGTCATCAGCACCCTGCCTGACGTAAGAGCGCCATGACCACGGGCATGCAGAGGCAACGGTGACGATGCGCGACGACACGGAGGAGAGAAGCATCTGATAGCCCAAACGAAGACATTCTACGGCCATGTGCGGGCAGCCGCCAAGGGTTAACTCAACTCCCCGCTAATGAGCTGAGACCTTTGGTTAAAGAGCTCAGCCACCAAGTTCAATAATGACTAATACGCTGAAACCGTTAAAAAGCTGAGACCTTTCGAACGGAAAGGTTGACGCTACCAATTACTTTTGACGCGCCTCGAAGCAGTGCTGTCCTGGACGGGCGGATCGGGAAAGACGACCGTGAATTCGAGGAAGGTGACGCTGCGCGCATTTCACGCAAGTGTCTACCGTGTAAGATCCGAGGATTCAGTAATGCTCGAAACATGCTGGAATCGAGTCGCGCTGGATTTGGGGATTACGGTCATCAGATAGGCCTCGTTCATTACTCTCACGGTAGTCGATGGTTGAAACAGTTAAAAATTTCTACCAACCAACGGCGAAATAGTCGAAGGATGTCAGTTCGATCACCTTTGTTTTCAGTTGTGGTGCTTTGTTGAACTGTAGACCTTCTTGCTCTGTCAGTGATGCATTGAAGCTCGCTCTATGTGGTAACCTTTTTCGCTGATAGATTCGCCTGAATCTATTCTTGCTCAAGGCGGAAGGTTGCTGCATCCTGATTGGCGCATCTTTAGGACCACGGTCAAGGGCGGGGGTTGGGGGGATGGGGGGGGAGCGCCCGAATGTGACGGGCGCAAATTTAGTGAGGCGCAGCGCAACATTCAATGTGGCCTTGAACGTGAATGCTTTACATTTCACCCTTCGCATTTTAGGAGAAATACCAGTGCCCATATCTGCTCTCCCGATCTTGCATTTTATTTTCCGTAAACTGCGCCTTCGTATTTAGTTTTGGACGTAACATCGAGTCGACCGTCTTCATAAGTTCAGCGGTCGAAGTCAGCTTTTTACTTGAAACGGTTACTGACGCACAACTTCGCCGTTAGGATGCCGTCATCACTTCGTATACGCGATAGAAGCCGCGCAGTGGCGAACAAAGTCGCAAGCTGTGAGTGAAAAAAAATTATGACGCACGGAGTCCGACTTAAACGTTTTCATTGAGTCATTATAATATCTGACATCATGCCCATTTCGCATGCGCTGGTAACAATATCACATGTTTAAGTCGCACAACTTGCTTGTTTCAGTATCCGATCGCTGCATGTTCCTGTAACTTAGTGGCGAACGGTACGGTCGAAGGAAAACCCCGATTTGTGTTCTGCGATAACAGGGGACGTCGTAACGAAAGCCGTGGACCGCGCTTTCCTGGAACTTGCGGAGCTAGACGGCAAGAAGGACGAGGAGGGGCGGCCGGTGATTAACGTTCCGGAGCTATACACCGGCGTGCTCCTCGTGTACAAGTGAGTGCGTCATTATGGCGCCTCGGAAACGCCGGCATGTTACAGTGTACAAGTGAATGCGCCATGACCTGTCCTCTAAGAAAAGAACTTCCTGAACGTCTCCAGGGATTTTCATTTCCAACTCTCGAGCCTCTTCCCCCTCCTCCCCTTCCCACCCCCACCACCCCCCTTTCCTCCCCCCCTACCGCTCACAGTTTATCTCTACCCTACACACTCATTCCTTTCCCCACAACTTCCCCACTCTCGCATGCACTGCGCCTCCATCCCGCCCCCTCTGTGTTGCACTATAGCTATGTGAACCGCTACTCCCCGGGGAGTTATCTGAGCCCTCCAAAGAAGAAGGATGTTCTCAAGCTGGTCAAGGTGTGCCTTTCTGCTCTCGCCAGTGTGCATTCGCCACTGCGTTGTCACCATGACACTTTGCCAGCACCTGTGCACGGGCTTCCCTCATGGGCTTGACCAGCTATTCCACTGTGATACCGTTTCAGCTCCCCTTCGGTTCTTCAATTCGAGTATTGTCGCATTCCCCCGTTGTTCCTCTGGTCCCGAGCAGAAATTCGATCTCAACAATGATGGGGTCATAGACCGGGAGGAATTCGGTAGGCTGCTCCGGCACTTCGTGAAGCATCTCCTGAGAAACATGATCATCAACATTCTCGTCATGCTCACTGTGATCCCGTTCCTATGCTACTTCACATGCAAGGCCATGGGTAGGTTCGTTCCTGAATCCCTCCTGGCCACTATTTTCACTTCCTTGTTTAAGATGTCTGGCATATGGAATAGGACAGGCGTGTGAGTCTCAGAAGGAATGGGGCACTCTCTTTTTGGGTGATTCAGCACATATCGACTGCAGCATTGATTAGTGCACTGGGCTATGCCGTTTTGAACGCTGCTTGTGAATGGTATTGTGTGTACAGACTGAATGGGTAGTGAATGTGTACAGATAGGTGCATAACTGCTAACATATACGTTCTCTACTTGTGCTAGCTCTTTGTGAATGTACAATGCATTTATGATCACAATGATTTTTCCTAACTTCCACAGAACTCTAATGCAACACTCAATATGGATTCTGCGAGCAGCATTTGACGGACAACGCAAACCCACATTTCGCCTCACTCCACCCAGAGGGGCCAACCATTTGCCGATTCCGCCTCCCCCAAAGAAGCCAGTGAGAATATCCATCAACGACGCTGATTGGAGGAGGCCTTGGCGCTGACGTTTGCGAAAGCGTTACAGCTTTGCAACCGACTCTTCGTTCACTTTCGCGAGAGTTCGAGTCCTCATCGCCAGCTCGCCAACACACATCCACAATGCTTTCCCAGTGGCCCGAAACGAGGAGCGGCGCGACAGGAGGAGGATGCAATCGCATCTCTCATGCAATCGCCTAGTCTTTGAAAATTGACTTAGTTTCGTGAAAACGTGACTGGCGTGCATGAAGAAAGCAAGCTTTCCTTCAGCGACGCAAATGGCGTGCAACTACAGAGTAGTCGTTTACCTGTTGTCGTTCGTGGCATCACCTGAGACCTACAGTACCCGCCTCTGAGGCTAGCCGACCAGCGTTAGGCATGTCCGTACACACAACCAAGGTTCTCTTCATACATAGCGCAGCTCACGTGCATAGCAAGAACTCGCAGTCGCGTAGTTATTACCAACCCCTTGACGCGGTAGTGCTATGGCAAGAAAATACGAGTCTTTGAGATTATGCGTATTTGTTTTTCTAATAGTCGCTTTGCTTCGCCTGCGAAGCTCCCAAGCCGCGAATCTCCCTTCGAACGGGTGTCACGTCCATGCCGTGTGTTCCCGTCTCAACACCTTCAACGATGTGACTATAACGGAGGGAAAATTCACGGACCTCACGCTGATTGGAAAGTATAGAGGCCGGTTCAACAGTCAGGGCGGAAGATACAAGGCGCACGAGGCGGGGTCAGGCCCGCTAAACCTCGAAGTCTATCAGGTGCGGAGCGAGGCGCATTCTAGCTCGTACTACTGCGAGTAGCATAGACTTTTAGTCGTTGTTTTGGATTTTCTCTGTCAATAGCACGTGGTAGCAGCTTTCAAAGCATCGTGCTTCGTTTGCGGCTGCATCATTCTATCAGTTCCGCCTACCTACATTCGGCTGGAAAACACTTACTCGCATTTTCTGAATGGTTTGGGACAGATTTGGGCCTAAATGAACAGCTGTGAAACTCGTTGCCGCATATTCGTTCGCTACGATTTCGTGACTCACATTTCTACTACGCCTTCCCGATTAACAATCCTACAACGAATTCACTGATGTGTAACAGGAGGTTGGTAACCACGTGGATATCGTGCGAGGCGCCGGCGGAGGCACGTTGGAGAGCTGCTGCAGAGCGTGCGCGGGTGACAAGGCCTGCCACGCCTATCACTTCTTCCCTAGCAAACGGCTAGCCGACAATGCTAACGTTCGGGGCTTCATTGACGGCGTGCAGTGCTACCTGCTGGAGAAGAAAGCTGGGTCTGGAGGGACAGCGGGGCTGAGACATCCTTATAGCGGGGATGGAAGAGAGCAGGATGCTGTGTCGGCATTCTACCCGCTCAGCTGGTACGTACCACCGGGAAGGTTTGAGTAACCTGCCCGTCGCAAGTTGAATTGCCTGAATAGCTTTCAACGAGATGTTGCTACGGCATGGGCATGTTGAAAGGTGGGTGTGCTGGAGGAGGCATGTGACAGTGTTGTATGGTGCATACTGTGTCGTTCTGAGTGTGTTCTACTGTACATGTCAGCGCCGCTTTCACACGAAGTTACATTTTGAGGCTCTTGCGGAGCCGTAGTGCCTCGACATGTAGTGTCTCTCAAGCGCTGCTCCTTTCCCATGTGCCATGACCCCTGGCAGGGTGGGAGGCTCATGCGACACGTCTCGCCTGGACAACACCGACCCGCGCATCACAGGCTCGCACGGGACCCTCTTTGACTTCCCCGGGCAGCTCGGCAAATCTTTCTGCTTGCTTGCCGACCATCGGATCCACATCAATGTTCTGCTGCAGAGCCACCAGGGACCAGAGTCCGCAGCGGCAGCGGCACTAGCAGCAGCAGGCATGCCGAGGAGAGTGGCAGAGGGAAGCCTGCATGTGTGGGTGAAGGAGGTGGGAGTGGTGTGGGTGTCATCTGGCGGCAAGCAGCACTCGCTGCGCATGGTGGCGCGCACAGGCAACCAGCAGGACAGGGGGGCCAACGGTTTCCTCGCCCTCATGCAGGTGGACGGTGCTGACGTGGCACCGCCACGCTTCCATGATGACCTGGCAGTGGTGGGAGCGGATGGAAGTGTGGAGATAAGGAAGACGGCGGAGGAAGAGGATGGGCCTTTCGATGTGGACACGTATGAAGTTGTGTTTGAAGGGCTGGGGAAGGTGCATGTGAGCATGAGGGTGGCTCACCCTTTGCTACAAACACCAGAGGAAGCTGAGGCCCATTTCAACATCCGGGTAGCTGAACTCCAGGTAAGAGAGGTGACTGTGTTGCTGGTTCGTTCATTTGGCGGAATCCAGAACATGGCTGACTCTCATATGCTTCCTTCTGATTTGTGCAGACCAGCTCATCAGTCCAAGGGGTGCTGAGCCAAGCTTTTAGTACTAGCGGGAACCTAGGGAGCCATGGCACCTTGACGTACTCTCATCTGTCAGATCTGCTTCACTACCCAGCACCTGGAAGAAGAGACATCGAGCAGCCATCCGTGCAAAGGACTGCACTTGACTATGTTACCCCATCAATTTTGAGTACAAGCTCCAGGATCGGAGCTCTGTAGGCTGGCTTAGTCATCCACTAACTATACAAACACCATGCTAGATGCACATAGGCCTAAAAATAAAGCCCAATAAACAGCATCCCTGTAGCACCAAGACCTTTTTGCTGCTATAAAGGAGCCCATTGAAGATAACTGTGAGCATTGCACCTAAGTCTGAATGTCATCTTGTACGTAGGTATGTTAAACTAAACTAATACGTAAGTGCTGAAGTTGTACAGAACTAGCATCTTGTACCAGAAGGTGCAATTATTTCAACAAGAACTGCTTGAATAGCGCATACGCGATGGCCACCCCCATTGCCGGTTTTTCCCACATGTTCTGTTTCAACAATCCCTGAAAGTTTCGCAGTACTTCTATTCTGTACGATTGAAGTTTTGACGTTTATTGAACTCCCGTGGTATCTTTATCAGTATATTCCAACATCGGAGATTTCCAGCCCTTGATGTCATCCGCACCCTGACCGGCCGCCATTCCCAAGACCGAACCGAGCCTTGGGCTCTCCATTCCGCCCTGGCCCCCATTGCGCGCTGCCCCTCTCGGCTTCCCCACGCTCCGCCCCCCTCCCCCTCCTCGCCTCTCTTCCTGCCTCACCTGTGCCTCTGAGAGCTGAAGCACACAAGTCACAAAGCTGGTAGTGGTGGTTTCACATACTGCTTGTACGGAAGCCATGACAGCAGCTGGAAACCCCAAGCTCGGCTCCTTTGCCTTGACGTATAACGTTCGCATAAGCGATTTTTTTGGGCGATTGTGACGCGCCTTCGGTCCGCTGCGGCCTGGTGTGATTCATAGCGACTCTTATCTTTCAGTAAGCCCTCTGTTCCGCCTGCGGATGTGGGAGTTTCATGGCTGTTCCGGGCCCATCTTAGAGCCTCACGGACCGTATAAGATCGATTTAATTGGCTGTTAGAAGCACCCAGTCGTCGGCTGTGAGGTCTCTAGAGTCTCCAAAGCCCTAGATGTGCGCTCAAATCGGACTTAATAGATCGGAATTTCTGGATATTCAAGGCCTTCCCTGATGGTCCAGAAGCCCAGACATGCTAACCCTAATTTTTAATTAGTCGATAATGCGTCGCCCGAGGTCCAGTAAACATCGTTCCGGCACGTTCCCGCGTCAAATCCATCCCCAGAGATCGCATATGGAGGCCTAATATCCGATGTTCCGCAAGCACTTCACCTGTTTGAGCGTAACCCTAATTTAAGGAATCCTGCTGTTTTAGGAGAAGAAAGCGTCGGGTCACATGTCGGATGGCCGGTGGGTGGGGTTTCAGATCCTCTTCAGTCCAGCATCGCCCTTGCAAATCCCACATTCTGTCTGGTCTGTAACCACCCAGAGCAATCCTCCCTTGATACCTTGACTGTAAAAATGTATATTTTATTCGGTCTTTCTGACATCCCGCACTCCGACTAGCGCCGTTTGTCACTTCTTTCTCGTGGAGAGGTCGACGATCAGGGCCCGGACAGAGATCTGATCACTAGTTCAAACATTAGGGCAGGGTCACGCAGGGATCTAAGATAAGGCGTGGTCCCGCAATCACATGTGGATTTGAGACAGCTGACAGTTTGGAAACGCTTCGCGCTTTTCCGTTTTGGAAATCTCGACCCTTTGCTTGCATTATCACCTCGGTCGTGGACCCTTTGTTCCGCGCTGTTCGCCTTGTCCTAATGGCGTCTCTACCTGGTGCCTCCCTCCTTGTATCTCCGCTGCCCTGCGTGCCCACAGCGTGTATTTAACGTCCACTCGACCCCCAGAGGATCAAATCTTCAAGGGCGGCTCGACTCCCTTCACATCCTCGACCTGGTCAACGCCGCCGCAGGCCTTCAAATTCGCTGTAGGGCATTGTGCGCTGCACTCATTCTCGGGTTCTTATAGCGCGTACAACGGGACCTGGCACGGGCGATATGAAGCCTGAGGACGACGACAGTGGGTCGGGCAGTTCAGGCGGGAGCGATGGGTCGGGCAGCGGCAGACGGGGCGGGCAGGGGGACGAGGAGGCGGGGTATGAGATGGAAGAGGACGAGGAGCGGTCGGAGGAAGACGAGGAGGAGGATGAAGCAGGTACGCCTGCCTCGATCTCCTTTGTTGTTCGGCCAGGGGTAGCTTCGTGCCTTGTTGAAACGCCTGCTGCTGTGGTGCCGTGCTCGCGGACTCGTGCGAATGGCACGCCTTACTGCCTCGTGAAATGCGGACTCGTGCGAATGGCACGCCTTACTGCCTCGTGAAATGCGGACTCTTGTGAATGCCACGCCGTGCTGCCTCGTGAAATGCGGACTCGTTAACCATCCACGCCTTCTTGTCCCCTGGTCTGCGCGTCTGTGCAGGCGACGACCCGGATGACGAGGATTTCGACCCCACCAGCTGCGCGCCGAATGGGCAACTGCCGCGGCGGGGGAAGGAGGTGAGCGCGGAGGGGGAGGGAGGTGAGCGCGGAGGGGGAGGGAGGTGAGCGCGGAGGGGGAGGGAGGTGAGCGCGGAGGGTGAGGGAGGTGAGCGCGGGCAATGTCGAAACACATTTTTCACCTTTTGCTGTGCAAAGTAGCCCCTGACGGTTCTGACTCACACGTTGTTCTGCCGCGCCCATCCGCTGCTGTCCGATACAGGGCGACGTTGCGGAGGAGGAGGAGGAAGAGGAGGAGGGCCGCGACTCACCCGCGTCGTCCGGCGACGAGTCGGACTCCAGCAGTGCCTCGTCCTCCGCGTCCGACGGCAGCAGTGGCGGCTCCCGCCGCCCCCAGCCGCGCCGCCCCAACAACCGCAGAAAAGCGCCCCCCAGACCCGCCGCCGGGAGCGGAATAGGCGGAGGGGGAGGGGGAGGGGGTGGGGGAAGAGGGACCCGGGCTAGCAACCGCTCGAATGCGAGACGGCGGACTGTAGAGTCGTCAGACGATGATGGGGAGGGGGACGAGGAGGAGGAGGCAGGGAGCGGGAGCGAGTCGTTTGACGAAGCTGGGGCGGGTGGCGGGGACGACGAGAGCTCGTCTGATTTCTCTGGGTCGGTGAGCGAGTCAGGGAGTGAGAGTGAGGGGCGGGGGAAGCCGCGGGCCAGGCGTGGGGGGGCTGGCGCGGGCGGAGGAGGGGGCGGGGGCGGGGGGAAAGGGGGGAGAAAACGCGCGCGGGGCGGGGCGGGGAGCTCGGAGAGTGAGAGCAGCGGAGGGGAAGGGCGGAAGGGGCGGTCGGGGAAGGGGGGAGGGCGGGCGGGGGTGGCGGCGAGGGAGACACGCATGTCACGGAGGGCTGTGCCGCGCAAGTCATACTTTGAGGATGATGAGGACTCGGCGGATGACCTGGCGCCACCTGCTAAGAAGAAACTCAAGGTGCGCCCTTAACTGTCAAGGTGCGCCCCTTGCTGTACCACCGTTCCTAGCTGTGCCTTCCTTCTAGCTGTACCGTCCTTAAGGTGTGTGTCAGTGCCACTGTGTGCTCACTGCTGTTGTGCGCCGGTTTGAGTGTGTCTGCTCCATCTCCCATGCTATACGCTCAGCGCTTACTCTCCTGTCTGTGAGCGCAGGGCATAGCAGCAGCGGGGGAGGAGGGCGAGGAGGAGGATGAAGACATGCTGCCGGCAGGGGATGCAGCAGAGGCAGACGCAGAGGCGGAGGGGGACGTGGTGGAGCGGGTGCTGTGGCACCAGCCGCTGGGGAGGAGTGAGGAGATGCGGGCAGCGGGGCAGCCCACGGGGCCGTGTGTGTTGGAGTATGATGTGAGCGAGGCCATCGACTGGGAGCAGGAGGAGCTGTACGTCAAGTGGAAGGGACGCTCCTTCCTGCACTGCGAATGGCTGCCCATCTCCACCCTCTCCACGGTACTGTATCCCTCTCCACCACAGTGCATCCCTCTTACACGGTACTTCATCTTCTCTTCCTGTTAATCACCCTCTCCAACTCCTCAGCCTATCAAGCCTTCTCCAGTCCCATCTTCTTATCCTCATCTCCTTCCCACACACAGCTGCCCGGGTTCAAGAAGGTGCAGAACTACATGAAGCGGGCGGACGACGAGTGGTTGTACCGCCTCTCACCCTCTCTGTCTTCCCATTATGCCTCTCACCCTCGCACCTGCTCACCCTCCCACCCGCAGCTACCCGGGTTCAAGAAGGTGCAGAACTACATGAAGCGGGCGGACGATGAGAGGCGGTACCGTCTGAGTGTGTCAGCAGAGGAGGTGGAGGCGCTGAACGTGGGGCGCGAGATGGAGCTGGACCTGCTCAAGCAGTACTCGCAGGTGGGGTCAAGCAGTACTCGCAGGTGGGGTCAAGCAGCACTCGCAGGTGGGGTCAAGCAGTACTCGCAGGTGGGGTCAAGCAGTACTCGCAGGTGGGGTCAAGCAGTACTCGCAGGTGGGGTCAAGCAGTACTCGCAGGTGGGGTCAAGCAGTACTCGCAGGTGGGGTCAAGCAGTACTCGCAGGTGGGCGGGCGAGGCTGGTCATGTGAGGCGGTGCTGCTAGACTCTTAGATGGGTGGGTGCAGCTAGACTCCCAGGTGGGTGGGTGCCGGTGGGCTTACCGCATGCATCACTGGTGGGAGGTGGAGGCGCTGAACGTGGGGCGCGAGATGGAGCTGGACCTGCTCAAGCAGTACTCGCAGGTGGGCGGGTGTGCGTAGCTTCTAAGCTTCTGTCCCTTTTCTCTCCCCGTTCTTTGCGCATGACGTGACACGCCTGTCCCTGTCGTTCCCATTTCTTCCCCTTCCCCCCTTCCCCCCCCCCCCCCCTCCCCCCCCCCCCCTCCCCCCCCCCTCCTTCCCCCCGCCCCCCCTCCCCCCCTCCCCCTCCCCCCCTCTCCCCTGGAATCTTGCTCTGCCTGCCTGCGCCCATCCCAGGTGGACAGGGTGGTGGCAGAGCGGCCAGCCAAGGCAGCAGGGGAGGCGGGGAGGGAGGGCGATGAGGTCAGCAGCTACGAGTTCTTTGTCAAGTGGAAGGGGCTTTCCTACTCCGAGGCCACCTGGTGGGTTGGTTTGTTCTCTTTGAGAGCTATGCACTGTCCAGTCACCGTCCATCACCGTACTTCATGCCTCACTACCATCCCGCACACGAGTTCTTTGTCAAGTGGAAGGGGCTCTCCTACTCCGAGGCCACCTGGTGGGTTGGTTTGTTCTCTTTGAGAGCTATGCACTGTCCAGTCACCGTCCATCACCACCCTTCACACCTCAGCACCATCTGGCTCACGAGTTCTTTGTCAAGGGGAAGGGGCTCTCCTACTCCGAGGCCACCTGGTGCGTTCTGTTCCTCTTCTTTTTAGAGCTATGCACCCTCTTGTCACCTTCCATCTCCACGCTTCTCTTCACGCCTCACCACCATCCCTCTCCCCCCCTTCCCCCCTTTGCTTGTTCCACGAGTGCAGGGAGACGGAGGCGGACATAGAGGTTGCGCGGGAGGCGATAGACGAGTTCAAGGAGAGGGAGGCGGGAGCGCTGGTGGTGGGCAAAAGCGTGGAGGCGCAACGGAAGAGCTGCCGAAGTGAGCATTGTGATAGAGTGGAGCGGGGTCGAGTGGGGCAGGCAGGGGAGAGTGGCGCAGGTTGAGTGGTGCTGAGATAGTGGATCGGAGGGGAGGGGGGGAAAGGGAGTGGGGCAGAGGGGTGGGGCGAAGGAATTTGGGGCAGGGGAGAGAGGGGAACGGGTCGTTGGAGGTGGATGAAGCGTCCAAAGTAAGTTCGTGTTGTGAGAGTAGGGAAGCTGAGGAGCATGAGCGGGCAGGTGAGACAAGGGAAGGGAAGGGTGAGCTGTGCAGGAAGGGTCAGAGGAAATGCAGCTCGTGTGTGAGCCCCTCCACACCCCTTCCAATCTCCATTCACCCCTCTCACTCCATGGCATCCATTCTGTTCCCCTGCATTACCGTCTTCCCCTCGCCCCCCGCCTCCCGCATTGCCTTTTTTTGGCCGCCCTCTTCCTCCCCCCCCCCCGTTCCATCCCCCCCATTCCATCCGCCCTCTTTGCCCCCCCGTTCCATTCCCCCCGCTCCACCCCCCCCGTTCCACCCCCCCCGTTCCACCCCCCCTGTTCCAGGCATGAGCAAGCTGGAGGTGCAGCCGGAGTGGCTCAAGGGCGGCACCTTGAGGGACTACCAGCTCATGGGGCTCAACTTCCTCATCCACAGGTGGGGTTGTGGTGTGAAGGGCACTGCAACTCGCTACACGCGGGGATACCTGCTTTCAACATGGAAGTAGAGCAGTGGGGGGCGGGGAGGGGACGGTTGTAGGGAGACACAGGGGCGGCATGTGAGGGACTACCAGCTCATGGGGCTCAACTCAACTTTCTCATCCACAGGTAGGAACCAGGGGGGGCGCAACTCAACACATGTTAAACTCCAACGGCCTCTCAGCACGAGGGGGGAGGAAGAGGGGTGGGAGGAAGAAGGGTAGGTGGAAGAGGGGTGGGAAGGAAGAAGAAGGGTAGGGGGAAGAGGGGTGGGGGGAAGAGGGGTGGGGGGAAGAGGGGTGGGGGGAAGAGGGATGGGGGAAAGAGGGGTGGGGGGAAGAGGGGTGGGAGGACGGCAGCTTGACACAAGGGCCCCCCGCGTCCCCTTTTATTGCTTCCGTTTCTGTGTCCATTTTGCCCCCTTTCTTCAATGTTGAAATGCACCTTGCTTCTTTCCCCATGGGTAAGGTCCCCTGGGACCTCGCGTTTGTGTGGGAATGCTCCTGCATAGATGCGTGTGCATGCCATGCTCATGCATATTCTTGTGCATCTGCGTTTGCATGTGTGCATGCACGTGTTGGGTGTGCATGCATGTATGTCTATGTGCGTGAGTGTGTGTGTGCATGTATGTGTATGTGCGTGCATGTGCGCATGCTTGTGCGTGGTTGTGTGTGCGTGTGCATGTGGTGCATGGTGGCAGTTGGATGAGAGACACAAACGTTATCCTGGCAGACGAGATGGGGCTGGGCAAGACGGTGCAGTCCGTCTCCATGCTCGGCTTTCTCTTTGTATGTGGGTGCAGGCGGGTGGGGTGCATGCGGGTGGGGTGCATGCGGGTGGGGTGCATGCGGATGGGGTGCATGTGCATGAAATGTGTACTCTCGCATCAATGCCCCCCTTCAGCTCATCTCCAAACCCTCCCCCCCCCCCCCCCCTCTCCCCCTCCACCCACTGCTTCCTTTCATTCGTCTACCCCTTCTTCTCCTCCGTTCTGATAATGGTGCCGCTAATTGAATCCTTCCCGCCTATCTCCCTCTTTTCCCTCTGCACCATCCGGTCAACTCCTCAACTTCCTCCCAACTTAACTAAATCCCCCCCACATGAGCAGCACATGCAGCAGATAAAGGGTACCTTCCTGACAGTGGTGCCGCTGTCAACCTTTAGAGAATTCTCAAGAGCAACTGGGAGAGGGAGCTTCGCCGCTGGCTGCCCTCCTGGCTCTTCCCCCTTCACTCATTTCCCTGATCTTCCCCCCCATGCCCCCCCGACACGAGCAGCACATGCAGGAGATTCAGGCCTTTTCCTTTTGGGGCGCCTCAAAAGATTCAGGGCTTTTTCCTGACAGTGGTGCCGCTGTCAACGATGAGCAACTGAAAGCGGGAGCTGCGCCGCTGGCTGCCCCCACCATCTCCCCAACTTCTCCCCTCTCCTCCCCTGCCCCTCCCCCCCGCACACACACGAGCAGCACATGCAGCAGATACAGGGTCCGTTCCTGATAGTTGTGCCGCTGTCAACCATGAGCAACTGGGAGCGGGAGCTGCGCCGCTGGCTGCCCTCCCTCAACGTCGTGCTTTATGTGGGCAACCGCGCCTCCAGAGAGGTGGGGCGTGAGGCATGCAGAGGGGTGAGGCATGGTGCAGAGAAGTGAGGCAACGCTGCTGCTGGCTGCCCTCCCTCAACGTTTTGCTCACCGCTGTGCGCATCCTCATGGATCACATCACATCCACATCAAGCGAGGTGACTTTTGAGTCGACTCAAAAGCCATCGTCATGGATCACATCCACATCCAGCGCCCCTTCCTCACACTGCTTCCTCTCTCAACTCCCCTCTTATGTCCCTCACCCCCCCCCTCTGTGCCCCTCCTCTCTGCCACCCACTCTGCCCCTCCTCCCCTCTGCCTTCCCCCCTCCCAACCTCCGACCGCCAGGTGGTGCAGCAGTACGAGTTCTGGCAGGCTGCGGGCAGGAAGGGAGGGAGGCAGAGCAAGTTCCATGCGCTACTAACAACCTACGAGGTGGTCTTGAAAGACAAGGCTGTGCTCTCGCCCATCCGCTGGACGTACCTCATGGTCGACGAGGCGCACCGCCTCAAGAACTCTGAAGCGGCGCTCTACACCACGCTCATTGTAAGCTAGGTTATTCATTCGCTAGAAGTACGAGTTTTGATTCGACTCATAATATATGCATGCAGTGCAGTTCAGTGCAGTGCAGTGCAGGCTGCTGCTGCTGTCTGATGGCCTGCACCGACATAAGGGTGATGGAGGACTGTCGACTCAACAACCGCTCCACTCTCTATCTGCCATTTTCCCTCCTTCTCCCCTTCCCCAAGAGCTTCCATGCGCGCAACAAGCTGCTCATCACCGGCACGCCCCTGCAGAACAGCGTCGAGGAGCTCTGGTGAGTGCTGCTGTCGTGGGAGAGGTGTGGCAGCTGAGGTGAGAATATCAATGGTGTCAATGGTTGTCAGTGGTGTCAATGGTTGGGTGGCCTACACTCTCACCCCCTTCGTCTCTCCTGTCTTTCCGTCCACCGCTCGTTTCATCTTTTTCCGCCCTTCCTGCGCTCCCCCTCCCGTCGTCCTTACTCTGCCCTTCCCCGTCTATAAGTCGTCATCTCCTCGCCCCTGTTTCTCTTCTCCCCCCACCCTCCCCTTCTTTCCCCTTCTGTCCCCATTTTCTCCCCAGGGCGCTGCTGCATTTCCTGGACTCGGGCAAGTTTGGCGACAAGGAGGAGTTTTCAGCCAAGTACAAACACCTGCTGGAGAACCAGAGCGAGAAGGAGGTGAGGGAGAGGCAGGAGAGGAGGTGAAGGGGGAGAGAGAAGGAGGTGAGGGGAGAGGAGGGAAGTGAGGGGAGAGCAAGGGTGAGAAGGACAAAATGGAGATGAGATGCGGAAGGCAGTTTTAGAAAAGAATTTCTGTTCCCTTAGAAAAGAGTGAGCAGGATGTGCTCCCTTACTGTTTGTTTTTTCTATCACGGTTTCACTTTTCATGGCTCTTCTACCCCCTCTTGCACCAGCAGCACATCGTACCCCCTGCCCTTGCCCCCGCTCTCTACACCAGATCACGTCATTGCACCAGGAGCTGCGCCCGCACATGCTGCGGCGGGTGATCAAGGACGTGGAGAAGTCACTGCCGCCCAAGATTGAACGCATCCTGCGCGTCGAGATGTCGCCCCTGCAGAAGCAGTGAGTGCCGCTGCTTGGCCTGGCAAAGAACCTCGGACAGGGAGTGGCTGTTGGACCCTCCTTGCAGAACAGTGGGTGGCTTGTTTGCCCTTCCTCTTCTCTACTCCTCTCCTTGCTCTTCTCGTGCATTGAGGTCGCTTTTGAGGCGCCTCAAAAACGACCTCTTGTTCGCCCTTCCTCTTCTCTACTCCTCTCCTTGCTTTTCTTTCCTTGCCCACTCCCCCCCCCCCCCCACCCCACCACTCTCCTTACTACCAGTGGATATTGGAGTGCAATTTTCAGAATCCGAGCATGCCTTCCGTTCGTTCTCACATGCCATTCCCTCTCCTGCCCTCTCTCTACCCTCTTCCCCCCCGTCCCTCTCTCCTTGCTCCCCCCTCCCCCCCTTCCCCCCTCCCCACCCGCAGGTACTACAAGTGGATCCTGGAGCGCAACTTTCAGGATCTGAACAAGAACGCGCGCAGCAACCAGGTGTCCTTGCTCAACATCGTGGCAGAGCTCAAGAAGTGCTGCAACCACCCCTTCCTCTTCGAGAGCGCTGACTACGGCTACGGGGGCGTCGGTGCAAGCAACCACCTTTCCTCTCATTCTCACATGCATTCTCACTCTCCCCTTCTTCCCCCACCTCCCCCCCGTCCCCCCCAGGTACTACAAGTGGATTCTTGAGCGCAACTTTCAGGATCTGAACAAGAACGCGCGCAGCAACCAGGTGTCCTTGCTCAACATCGTGGCAGAGCTCAAGAAGTGCTGCAACCACCCCTTCCTCTTTGAGAGCGCTGACTACGGCTACGGGGGCGGCGCGGCGGGAGGGGCGCTGGACGCACAGGGCAAGGCGCAGCGGATCGTGCTGGGGAGTGGCAAGACGACTTTGCTGGATAAGCTGCTCACTCGGCTGAAAGAAACGGGCCACCGCGTTCTCATCTTCTCCCAGGTGGGTTACAGTTAGATGTAATTCGATATTATCTGATTTGGGCTCGTGAAAGCGCCACTTCTTTTATGCACTCTCAGTGGTGCTGGTGCTCCCTAGTAAGGGAGTGTCGTTGTGGTTGTAAACGACAACGACAGAGGAGTGCCATGATGACCATCTATCTCTCGTCCTTTACTCCTCCTTTGCTCCTCCACTCCCCGCACTCCTACAGATGGTACGCATGTTGGACATTCTAGCGGACTACCTCGCTCTGCGAGGCTTCCAGTTCCAGCGCCTGGACGGCAGCACGAGGGCGGACCTGAGGCAGCAGGCCATGGAGCACTTCAATGCGCCCGGCAGTGACGACTTCTGCTTCCTGCTCTCCACGCGCGCAGGCGGGCTGGGTATTAATCTTGCCACGGCGGACACCGTCATCATCTTTGACTCTGACTGGAACCCACAGAACGACCTGCAGGTGAGCAGTTGCATTCAGTCTGGTACGTGTATTGGGATATGCGTGTGGTTGGCATGCTTGGAGGGGCAGGAAAGCAGACTGTGTCTTGTCCCGTCTCGCCTTGTCCCCTTGGCCCTCTATGCCCTCTCACCAGGCCATGAGCTGCGCTCACAAGATCTTTCCCTCCCGTGTCCCCCTTCCTCCCGTATCCTCCTCCCTTCTCCGCCCCTGTCCGTCCTCCTCCCACCACCAGGCCACGAGTCGCGCGCACCGCATAGGGCAGCAGGACGTGGTGAACATCTACCGGTTCGTGACGAGCGGCAGCGTGGAGAGTGGTGTATGGAAGGGCAAGTCTCAGAACCTTTGATGCATTGTCCCTTTGTCCCCTCATGCCCTTCATCACCAGGCCATGAGCCGAGCACACAGGATAGGGCAGCAGGACGTGGTGAACATCTACCGGTTTGTGACGAGTGGCAGCGTGGAGGAGGGTGGTGTGTAGAAGGTTGAGGTGCCTCTGACCATTTGTCTGGATGCCTTGCCTTGCCCCCTTCACGCCAGGCCATGAGTCGTGCGCACCGCATAGGGCAGCAGGACGTGGTGAACATCTACCGGTTTGTGACGAGTGGCAGTGTGGAGGAGGACATATTGGAGCGCGCCAAGCGCAAGATGGTGCTGGACCACCTCGTCATCCAGAAGCTCAACGCTGCCGGGCGCCTGGAGAAGACTCAAAGTAAAAAGAGCAGCTCCATGTTCGATAAGGTGGGATACGGTTGGGGGTGGTGAAGGGGGGGGAGGGGGGGGGTGTGCCAAGCGCAAGATGGTGCTGGACCACCTCGTCATCCAGAAGCTCAATGCTGCCGGGCGGCTGGAGAAGACGCAGAGCAAGAAGAGCAGTAGCATGTTTGATAAGGTGCGGTGCGGTTGGGGGTGGTGAGGGGGTGGATGCGTTGGGGTAGTGTGAGATGGTGCTGGACCACCTCGTCATCCAGAAGCTCAACGCTGCTGGGAGATTGGAGAAGACCCAAAGCAAGAAGAGCAGCTCCATGTTCAACAAGGTGCAGTGCGGTTGTGGAAGGGGGGCGTTGGGGGCGGTGGAGGTTGGGGGTGGGGGTGATGAGGATGCATTTGGATAGGGTGGGATGGTGGTGGCTGAGAAGGAGAACAAGATGAGCACCAGCAGCATGTTCAATTACGTGCAATGGGCGGAGGAGTGAGGGGGAGGAGGATGCTGCAGTGGGGAGTGCAAGTGAGCTGTTGAAGGAGCGAGTGAGTGAGGAGGAGGACGCGAGCTCTCTGACGATTCAAATGGCTCTCTGTTTCATTCCCTTACCCTGTCTCCTCCAGAACGAGCTGGCGGCCATTCTGCGGTTTGGAGCGGAGGAGCTGTTCAAGGAGAAAGTGAGCGAGGAGGAGGATGCAAGTCTCCTGACAATGCCTTTTCCCCCCGTCTTCTCTCCTCCAGAACGAGCTGGCGGCCATATTGCGGTTCGGAGCAGAGGAGCTGTTCAAGGAGAAAGTGAGCGAGGAGGAGGGAGCGAGCCGGCTGGAGAATCTGGATATTGACGAGATTCTGGCGCGCGCTGAGAAAATCGACAGCAGCACTGCTGGGGAGGGCGCTAATGAACTGCTCTCCGCCTTCACTGTGAGTTTCTCAGATAGAGGGTGTGTTGTGTAAGTGGGTTACGAGTGGGAGTGGTTGTGCGTGTGTGGGCTTGGATGTGTGTGGGTGTGTGCGTGCCTGTGTCCATGGGTGTGAGTGTGCGTGCGTTCTTGTGATCTTGAGTTCAATACACGAAGACCTGCCTTCACTCGGTCTTATCTTGAGCACCTTCTTTTACACATTCTTTCACCTTCGATGGCGTCCGGCTCCCCTCCTTCGCCTTGCCCCTTCCCTATTTCCCCTCCCCCCGTCCCCCTCCCGCTCCTCCTCCCCGGCTATGCCCATCCCCAGGTGGCGAATTTCAGCAGCACGGAGAACGACGCTGCTTTTTGGAGCCGGCTGATCCAGGCAGCGCCAGCAGAGGAGGAGAAGGCGCTGGGGCCGCGCTCCTCCCGCCGCAACGCCACCTACACGGGCGATGGGCTGCATGGGGATGCTGATGATGAGGAGGAGGATGGGAGAGAGGGGAGGGGTGGTAGGCGGGGAGGGAAGGACGGTGGCGGGAAGAGGAAGCGAGGGCGGAGGGAGCAGGGGGATGGGGGTGCGGAGGAGGGCGGGTATCCTGCTGCTGCGCCTGCTGTGGAAGGGGCACTGGTGCGGATTACTCAGTGGACGGTGCAGGGGGGGGGGGGAAGGGGGAGTGGGGGCGGGGGGTGCTGGGGGGGAAGGAGCAGCTGCAGGGGCGGGTGCAGCAGCAGGGGCTGGGGCAGGGGAGGCTGCTGCCGCAGCTGGTACTGCTGGTGCTGGTGGTGGTGCTAAGGTCCGGCGGCTATCCAAGCGAGACGCCAACGCCTTCGTGAAGGCAGTGAGGCGGTACGGAGGCGCAGAGCGAGTCGCACAAATGACAGCGGAGGCCGGTGGAGCAATGGAAGCAGCGAGCGAAGCAGAGCGGCGGTCCCTCCACTCCCTACTCATGCAGGCCTGCAAAGACACCGTCAGAGCTGCCGCCGCCGCAGAGGAAGACGACCCAATGGGAGCAGCCGGAGCAGCAGCAGCGGCAGCAGCAGCAGGGGCGGCAGCAGCAGCAAAAATCCCTCTACTGGATTTCTTCGGTGTTGCAATTAAAGCCCCGGAGCTCCTGCACCGGGTGAAAGAGCTCCAGTTTCTGGCGAAGCGGGTGGAGCGAGTAAGCGACCCTGTGAAGCAGTTCCGCCTGCGGTCGCATGCGCGCGTGCCCTCATGGGCTAAGACCACTTCTTGGACGCCTGTTGATGATGCAAGGCTGCTGCTAGGGGTGCACTTCCATGGGTTTGGCAACTGGGAGCAGGTTCGGCTGGATGAACGGCTGGGATTGGAGAATAAGATCGCGCCGCCGGGATCAACGGGTGGGATTGGGGGAGGTGGAGAGGGGAAGCTGCCCAGAGGGAGCCATTTGGATGCACGGGCGTCTGCTCTGCTGCGCAAGGTAGGGTGCCTGTGGAGGGAGGAGAGGGGGATACGGAGAAAGTGTGGTTGGGGTGATTGTTGGTTAAGCAAGTGTGGGTTGAGTGGGGGTTGAGTGGGAGGGTGTGAGTGCTCGTGTCAGTAGTGCGTTTCAAGCCTTCAAGGCCCATCCTTTGCACCTTTGTTCCTGAAACCCCAACCATCCCCCCACCAACTTGGTCCCTCAGGAGCTGGAGGCTGATCCTCACCACGCCAAGGCTGCAGCAGCAGCCAATGCTCTCAAGGTCAAGATCAAGGTGCGAGGAGGAGGCAAGGGCGCGTTTGCTGCTGGCTCTGCTGCTGCTTCTGGCGCTGACGAAGCCGTTGCTCTGGGTGGGGGACGGAGAGGCGGGGGTGGGAGGGAGGAGAGAGGGCGGAGAGGGCGAGGGGGGGAGAGGGAGCGGGAGAGGAGGCATGGTGGGGAGAGGGAGGGGCGAAGGCGGGGGAGGAGGGAGGAGGAGAAGGAGAAGCGGTCTCCGGAGAAGGAAAAGGAGGCCGAGGAGGCGAAGGAGGAGGGGGAGATCTCCGAAGGGGAGGACGCCGCTGCAGCAGCAGCAACAGCAGCCGCCGCCGCCGCAGCAGCAGGGGCAGCAGGCGGAGGAGGGAGCAAGGTCGGGAAGGAGGAGGAGGGGGTCGCAGGAGGAGCAGGAGCCGCAGGAGGAGTGGGTGTGGGAGAGGGTGGGGAGGGGAGGCGCGGAGTGGCGTGGTGCAAGGGGAGGCTGGCCCCTCAGGACAGTGTGCTGCAGCGGTTGAAGCGGCTGCAGACAAGGCAGGAGCTGTCACCCAAGGAGGTGACGCAGAAGGTGAAGAAGTATCTCCGACAGCTGGGCCATGAGATCGACAGCGTCATGAAGCGCGAGGCTGCTGATGCCGCCCTCCCGCGCCCCCACTTACAGAGTCAGTTCCGGGTTTTGCCTTTTCCTATTCCTTCTCCTGCTCCTTTTCCTTTTCCTCTTTCGTTTTCTTCTCCTCGTTCTTGTCTTTCTCCATCTTCTCCTTCCCCTCCCCCTCCTTCTTCTTCTCCTTCGCCGTGCACTGTCTCACCACCTGCCTCTCAATCAGGCTTGCTGCTCTCACACACTGCTGGACCAATGCATTGCATTCATATGAGCCGACTCTTCACTTTGGTTTGTTCTTGTTTTTCCTCGCTTCCTTCTCTCCACCCGCTCCCCACCTATGCCCCCCTCCGTCACCTCTTGTCAGAGATCTCTGAGGACTTGTGGGAGTACGTGGCTCCGCACTCGCACCTGTCCAGCAACCGACAGTCTTCCCACCTCTGCTCCTCACCTCCGCTCCCCATCTCTGTCCCTCCCCTCCACCTCCCCGCAGGGATCTCTGAGGACCTGTGGGACTACGTGGCTCTGCACTCACACCTGTCTGGCACGCGATTCGCCGACACCTACTGACCATCTTCCGAACTCTGCTCGCCATCTCTTCTCCCCCAATCTGCCACTTGTGTGCAGGGATCTCTGAGGACTTGTGGGAGTACGTGGCTCTGCACTCGCACCTGTCCGGCATCCCGCCAGTCTTCCCACCTCTGCTCCTCACCTCCGCTCCCCATCTCTGTCCCTCCCCTCCACTTCCCTGCAGAGATCTCTGAGGACTTGTGGGACTACGTGGCTCTGCACTCACACCTGTCTGGCACGCGATTGGCCGACATTTACCGCAAGCTGAGGGACGACCGTGGGAGCGATGGAAAGGAAGGTGGGGAGAAGGACCGAGAACGCGAGCGGGAACGGGAGAAGGAGAGGGATAGAGACAGAGGAAGGGATAGGGATAGGGATAAGGATAGGGATAGGGAGAGGGATAGGGAGAGGGAGAGGGAGAGGGAGAGGGAGAAGGATAAGGAAAGGGGCACTGAAAAGGATAGGGACAAGGACAGGGAGCGGAGCAGAGAGAGAAAATGGAGGGAGGAGAGGGGGAGAGGAGACGAGCGGTCAAAGGAGCAGGATGAGAAACACAGGAATGAGAGGCACAGAGACGAGAAGAACAGAGATGATAGGCACCGGCAGGAGGAGCATAGAACACACAGAGAGCACAGGGAGCATAGGGACCACAGGGAACATAGGGAGCACAGAGAGCATAGGGAGCACAGGGAGCATAGGGAGCATAGGGAGCATGGGAAGGGTGTGAAAGGAGAAGCAAGGGGTTGGGAGAGAGGTGAAGCTGAGAGGCCTCGTGACAGAGGGAGAGACAGGCGTGGTTCTTCCGAGCCTAGGAGTGCCCAAATGACTCCCGACCCTGGCGCTACCGTACCACCTGCTCCGGAAGCCAGGCCACACCGTACTTCCGAACCTGGCCGCGAGGCTCGGGATCCGGCGCAACGAGACGCGATGGATGGTTCGGGAGGCCGGTCGTTTAAGGTTCGGGAAGTGGGGAGGTGGGAGAGGGAGAGGGAGAGAGGGCGGGAACGAGAGGGGGAAATAGGGAGGGAAGGGGAGCGGGATAGAGAGAAAGGGAGAGGGAGGGAGTGGAGAGAAGGAGGAGAAGGAGGAGGAGGGGGTGCGGCGTGGACGGCAGAGAGGCGGAGATCAGATGGACGAGATCCAGACCGGCCTTCTGGTGGTGGTTGGGGGAGAGCGGAGGGGGGAGACGGCGGATCTGGGAAGAGTGCAGAGAGGGGAGGGGAGAGGGGAGGGGAGAGGGGAGGGGAGAGGGGAGGGGAGAGGGGGGAGGAGAGGAGCGAGGCATGGAAACGCAGGTGGAGAGATGGGGAGGGGCCTACTTCCTCCTCTGCCCCTGTGTCCGGTGCAAGCAGCCCTCACAGAATGGGCAATGGGCAGGTGAGGGAGGGAGGAGGGGAGGGGGGAGAGGATGCAGGCAACGGCAACGGGCGCATGGAGAGCAGAGCTGAGGGCTCTGGGGCAGGAGGGGAGCGTGGGAGAAATGCCAGAGATTCCAGAGATACGAGAGAGGGCAGAGATTCCAGAGATACGAGAGATATCCCTTCAGGTGCTCCCAGGGACGTATCCAGAGAATTTCCCAGAGACTCCCCCAGAGATTTTCGAGATGCCCGAGATGCATCAAGAGAGGCTCCTCGTGATGCCCGCCCCCCTCGCCCTCCGCCTCCCCCCGCTCCGTCTGACGCCCGTGCGTCGAGAATGGGGGCTGGTGCTGGCGTGGGCCGGGGCGAGGATGGGGAGGTGGCGAAAGGGGCGGTGCAGGGTGCTGGTGCGGGTAAGTGGGGGGGTGGAGGAGGGGACAGGGAGATGGAGGTGGGGGAGGCGGGGGAGGCAGGGGAGGCAGGGGAGTTGGAGGCGGTGGCAGAGGAGGGCATGGTGCAGGAGTGAATGAATGAGGGATTGGGAGGTCAAGGAATGACAGGAAAGGGATCAGTCACAAGGAGTGGCAGGGGTCAGACATTCAGACTCCAGTAGGGTAGTTGTGAGAACTAACTCTGCTACCTCGTGGGAGAATGATAGGTGGCCTGGGTGGCTCTTGCCGCTCGGCTCTTGTCGAAGTGATGCTGCTGTAGAAGGGGGGAACACTGCTGGTTATGTCTTGTCGTTTGTTCAGAGATCTAGTGGAAAATGTACCAGGAGGTTCTGATTCTTTGTTGCATCATATTGGAATTTTGGTGCGAGGAATTTTGGTGCAAGTTGGGGCCATCCGCTGAACCCGTTTAGTCCACTTCAACCATCCAAACACCACCACTTAGGATGCGTTCGAACAGCTGGCAAGCAACCACAGGCAAACTGTCACGAAGGTTGAGACACGGGCCCACCAAACACTTCGTATCATTTAGCTGCTTTCAAATTATGCGCTTTCACCGTACATGCTCGCCGGTCGGGGTAGCGCCCGACTGTAACCCGAGCGGGGGCCAATCCTTGGAATTGTCGCACACCTGTGAGACCCTCGGCCTGCCACATCGATGACTCGTCCACTCCAAGCTGAGAGTCCGCAGCGGCACCACCACGTAAGAGGTGGCGACGTGGCGGTTAGAGAGGGGGGCACCGCGTGAGGCGGGAAACCGAGCAGCGAAAATCCCCCGCTCCCAGCGGTGGAGGGATAGCGAGGCTGAGTGCGCGGCCGTGGTAATCCTCGCAGGTTCGGGCCACGAGACCAAATCACCACCCTTTTTGCCTTCCTCGCAGAATTTAATCGAAATTAGTCGGCTCCTGCCTTTTTTTTTTTGTCCGATGCGTTGCTCAGCAATTGCGCGACATTAGGTTTCCCGGTCGTGCGTCGTCATCATCAGCAACGCCCGCACTCGCGTTTCCCTCCCGGTGCACCTTGTAGTCACGCGGTCTGCTCGTTGCCACCGGTGTTATGCATTAGAGCGGCCGCGCCGTAGAGTCTGCCTAACGGACGCGCCCAATGCTCGCCCGCGCCGCAGCAATAAGCGGCCTTCCCCTGATCTCCGCCTCCCGTGCGCGCATTACGCTTTTCCGCGCGCCGATGAACGAATTCATGCGCTTTGCGCACGTTGGCGCTGTCAGTGGCGGGCCGGCAGGAGGCGATTGGCCGGCAGGGATTCGCGAACGTGCAATGGATGGTGAAGCATCAGAGAGTGTACCGCCGTCCGGCACAAGAGTTTACAGCAGGCGCGCACGGGGGGAGAGAAAGCCGGCAATAATTGTGCAGTACGAAGAGGACTGTAAAGAAGATGACAGTAACGGAAACGGTCAAGAGGCAATGCAGGCCTCGAGGCGCAGGTCTGCAATGCAGCGAACGGGTGTGACTGTAAAGAGGGAAACGGACGAAGTGGTTGCGAAGGGGGAGTTAGAGGAGGTGATTGTAACGCAACAAGCAGGTGCTGTGGTTGTGAAGCGAGAGTCTGATGATGGGACTGCAACGAGCGGCGGTGGTGTGATTGTAACGAGAGGAGGTGAAGGGGGTGAGTTGACTGTAAAGAAGGAGGCGGAGGATGTGATTGTGAAGAGAGAGGATCTGGGCGACATGGCAGGCAGAGAAGCACGTGGACCCGAGGCTGATGGAATGGCTGTAGCCGGGGCGGAAGGCATGGCTTTAACCAAAGCTGAAGGTTTGGCTTTGACTGAGGCTGATGGCATGCCTGTTGCCAAGACTGATGGAACGGCAGTAGCCGAGACTCAAGGAATGGCTGTAACCGAGGCTGCTTGGGGTGGTGGCAGGGGCAGGAGGAAACGAAGACAACCAGCAGGGAGAGACGCAGATAGCAGAGCTGGGGATGAAATAGTTGTCGCCGGGCAGCCGAAAAGATTCTCCGGTGGGCAGGCAAAAAGGGCGGGAGTGGAGAGGTGGCAGGAGGTGGTGGGTGCGATCAAGGAGATGCGGAGTGGGGGAGACGCGCCTGTTGATACCATGGGGTGTGAGAAAGCAGGGCAGGGCATGGGGGAGAAGGTGGGTCAAGGCAGGGCAGGGCATGGGGGAGAAGGTGGGTCAAGGCAGGGCAGGGCATGGGGGAGAAGGTGGGTCAAGGCAGGGCAGGGCATGGGGGAGAAGGTGGGTCAAGGCAGGGCAGGGCATGGGGGAGAAGGTGGGTCAAGGCAGGGCAGGGCATGGGGGAGAAGGTGGGTCAAGGCAGGGCAGGGCATGGGGGAGAAGGTGGGTCAAGGCAGGGCAGGGCATGGGGGAGAAGGTGGGTCAAGGCACCGGGGATGTGGGAGAAGGTGGGAGTTACTCAAATAACTTCTTATTTGTTATAAGAACAGGGATTTTAAGAACAGGGAATTTAAGAACAGGGAAAATTGCACCTGGGAAATAGTTGTCGCAGAGGAATGGTTTACTCTCTCTCTTTGCATCGCTCTCACATCCTTTTCCCACCCTCCCCTCTCCTCCCTCCCCTTGCTTCCTCCTCCCTCGTCCCCTTACACTCTCGCCCTCGCCTTTCTCTCCTCTCCCATCGCCCGTCTCTCCTCTTCCCCCGCTCCTGCGAGCAGCAGCGGCGCTTTGCAGTGCTGGTGTCGGCGATGCTCTCCTCGCAGACCAAGGATCCTGTCACTCACGGTGCGTGCAGCAAGGGTACTGCAGGGGCGTGTGCTGCACTGTGGTAATAATGCACCCATGCATGCATGAGAGCATGGTGCCATGCATGGTGCCATGCACCCGTGTTGCTGTCGGCCATGCTCTCCTCGCAGACCAAGAACCCTGTCACTCGCAGTGCGTGCAGCACCTTTGCATGCGCCTGTCACTCGCAGTGCGTGCAGCACCCATTGCATGCGCCTGTCACTCGCAGTGCGTGCAGCACCCATTGCATGCGCCTGTCACTCGCAGTGCGTGCAGCACCCATCGCATGCGCCTGTCACTCGCAGTGCGTGCAGCACCCATTGCATGCGCCTGTCACTCAAGGTGCGTGCAGCACCCATTGCATGCGCCTGTCACTCGCGGTGACGTGTGGCAAGGCTGACCATGCTCTCCTCGCATGTGGACGCCCCATCGTGCATGGGCGCTTGGAAGGCCACCTGCCGCCCATTGCAAGGTCCTGTGCTGTGCCGCCCATTGCCGCCCACAGCACTGTGCGCCCGTCACACCCGTTGCGTACACGAGCACCATTGCAGTACCGACCGCCACATGCTAGGTGTACGCGGTACTATTGCCTTGCCAGTCACCCATGGGCCATGGTGCCTCGCTGTGCGTACCACGCTGTGCCTAACACAGTGACATTCGCCACCGTTGTGGCATGTGCCTTTTTCTCCACCATTCCCTTTTGCCTTATCTCCCATCCCCACCCTAACATCCCATCGTCCCTCTCCCACCCTTCCCTCACCTCCATTGCCCTGACAACCATTCCCGTTTCATCCTTTCCCTCAATCCTCCCTCCCCTTTCCCCCCACTCTCCTCCATCCACCACCAGGCGAAGTGGCACGTCTGCAAGCAGCAGGGCTACTGTCGGCAATGCTGGCCTGAGTCCACTCTAAAACCTAATTTTCTTCCAACCACCACCACCGCACCACCAGGTGCAGTGGCACGGATGCATGCAGCAGGGCTGTTGTCGCCTGACGCGCTCAAGGCAGCAGACGAAGCGACCATCAGCCAAACCATCTACCCGGTATGTCTTGGTCAGATCAGACCACTTCTGCGCTATGAGTCATGACCTTGTCATGTATGCACCATACATGACATCCCTTTCTTCCTATCCCCACTTCCTTTCAATTCCCTCTTATTCTCTCTCCATCATCTCCTCTCTTCCCATCCCTCATCTATCTCGCACAACCGCCTGTTCTTTCCTCATCCCTGCTTCTGCCTCTGACTTTGCTTCCACCCAGAGGCATCCCTCCCCACCCCTCCTCGTCCTTCGTCACCCCTCCCCATCCCTCTCTCACCTGTCTTAAAAGGTGGGATTTTACGTGCGCAAGGCGGGGTACCTGAAGAAAATGGCCAATATCTGCCTGGAGAAGCACGGGGGAGACATCCCGGGCAGCCTGGAAGATTTGCTTGCGCTGCCCGGCGTCGGGCCTAAGATGGCCTACTTGGTGCGTGTGGGTGGTGAGGTGAGAGATGGGGAGGTTGGGGAAATGCGGGAGAGAGAGCGAGGTGATGCCCCATGCCCCATGCCCCATGCCCTGTCGCACAGATGATGAACGTGGCATGGGAGCTAGTGGAGGGCATCTGTGTGGGCACTCACTCACTCACAGAATTTATCCTCTGCACATCCAGTTACCCATGCGCCCACATGTTCCTTCCATGCCCCACCATACCCCATGTTCCTTGCGTCATGCCCTGTGCGTGTGCCTGTGCCACAGGTGATGAACGTGGCATGGGAGCGTGTGGAGGGCATATGTGTGGATACTCACGTGCACAGGATAGCTCGGCGCCTGGGGTGGACGGATGCCAAGGTAGGCATGTGGTAACGTGCGTATGTTTGCGTGTGCTTACATGCCTCTATGCCCATCCGCCCACCCATGTGCCCATACTTGTGTGGGGTGGAGGGCATATGTGTGGACACTCACGTGCACAGGATAGCTCGGCGCCTGGGGTGGACGGATGCCAAGGTGCGCACATGCCTGTGTGCCTGAATGCCTTATGCGCCCATGAGCCCATATTTCCATGTGGTGTGGAAGGCATCAATGTGTGGAGCGGACATTCATGTGCACCGCATAGCGCGGCGCCTGGGGTGGACGGATGCCAAGGTACGTTTGCATGCAGTGCATCCAATCACCCATCCACTCATGCGCTCATGTGCTCATGTGCTCATGCGCTCATGTGCGCATGTGCTCATGCGCTCATGTGCTCATGTGCGCATGTGCTCATGCACTCATGTGCTCATGTACGCATGTGCTCATGTGCTCGTGTGCTCATGTGCTCATGTGCTCATGTGCTGCTGCATGCATGTGTCATGTGCTACCACTGCCCCCATGTGCACCCTGTCACTCCCTCCACTGACACCCCAGGCCAAGACACCAGAGGACACAAGACGAGCTCTAGAGCAGTTACTGCCAAGGGACGAGTGGATGGGCATCAACCCGCTCCTAGTGGGCTTCGGTCAATCCACCTGCCTGCCCTCTTTCCCCTCCCTCACCTGCCATGACCTCCCCAGGCAAAGACACCAGAGGACACGCGGCGAGCGCTTGAGCAGCTGCTACCAAGGGACGAGTGGATGGGCATCAACCCGCTCCTAGTGGGCTTCGGCCAAACCACCTGCCTGCCCATCGGCCCCCGCTGCTCCTCCTGCCTCCTCGCCTCCCTCTCGCTCTGCCCCTCTGCCTCTCTCCCCCGCCTCCCGGCCCCTCCTCCCGGTCCTCCTCCTCCTCTCCCTCTCCCTCCAAGCACAACCGCACCAGAGACGTCGACACCCGATGCCCTGTCGCATCTCACCACTGCACCCACTGCGGACCCACTGTATCTTGTAGCGCCCACACTGGATGGGCCTGAAACCACCCTCGTTCTTGCCGTTTCTGCCCCTCCCGCGGTCTCCCCCTCTGATTCCTGGGACCGTTTCAAGCACAGTGGGCCTGGTAAGCATGGTGACGCCACAAGGAGAGAGGGTGGAGAGGATTCAGAGGAAGCAGAGGAAGAAGCGGCAGCAGGGGCAGAAGCAGGTCCCAGGCGCAGCCTTCGCTTTTCCAAAGGCCGAAAAGCTGCGTTGTGAGTGGTGAAAAGTGGTGGAGAGAGATGAGTGGTGGGGGGAGATTCGATAGCCAGATTTGGGTGTTCGTGAATAGTGACGCAAGCTGTACTGCTCATAAATAGTGAAGCGAGGTGCAAACACACATTGGGGCGTATATACAAGGTCTGAGGTACAAGCAAGCAAGCGAGCTACCTGCTGCGCACAGCAGGCACTCCTGACACTACATGCATCCTACTACTGCTGCTATTCCTGCTCCTGTAACTGTAATAACGGTACTGACACGGCTCTGTTCTCCTGGCTGCCTTATTCGGCGGTGCTTGCAGCCCTGCCAACAGGTCGTCTTCCTCTTTCCTTCGTTACAGTCACCTCCTGCTGCAAGCACCCCCCCTCCTTCCAGCTGCAGCTTCGTTGTAGTCACATCTGCCAAAAATTGCTCCACGGCTCTCTTCCTCCATTCCTACTCGCCCATGATGCTCTGCTCTGTTGTTCGCGTCTCTCTACACCACGCTGGCCAGAACATCCTCTGTAGCTTCCTCCCCATCCGCACCACCACTCCCTGCAGCACCAGCACCAGTAACCGCAACAGCACCAGCACCAGTAACCACAACAGCACCAGCACCAGTCCCACTAGCAGCAGCGCCACCAGAAACCGCAGCAGCGCCACCAGAAACCGCAGCAGCCCCCTGGCGGCCGGCAAAGGCGGAGAAGCGGCAGTCAGGCACGGTGATGGCGGACGACACATAGTCCTCCACGCTGCCGTCCAGGAAGCCCCGCCCCTCCTCCTGGTCCGCGGCGATGGGGTGGTGCAGCAGCGCCGACAGGTGCGTGTAGCGCAGCGCCCTGCTCTGCTGCTCGGGCGTGTCGCGGAAGGTCTGACCCAACACCCCGTGCACCGCAGGGGTGGTCTGTGGAGGGTGGGGTGGGGTGGGGGGTGTGGGGGAGGTGGGTAGGGAAGGGAGGGGAGGAGAGGACAAGGGGATGGGGGAGATGTGGGGTTCTGGCAAGTGGAGTTTGACGAGGTATGAGGTGTCATTGAAGCCCCGCCCCTCCTCCTGGTCCGCGGCGATGGGGTGGTGCAGCAGCGCTGACAGGTGCGTGTAGCGCAGCTCCCTGCTCTGCTGCTCGGGGGTATCACGGAAGGTCTGACTGACCCAACACCCCGTGCACCGCAGGGGTGGTCTGTGGGGTGGGTGGTGGGCGGGGGGAGAGGGGAAGGGGAGGAGAGGACAAGGGGAAAGGGAGATGGAGAGTTGAGGCCAAGGGGGAGTCCAGGCAGTGAGTCACAGGGGTTAATGCAAGGCAGATGCAGTCTGTGGGCATGTCAGCTTTTGAGTCGACTGAAAAGCAGACTCACCACAATGTCAGTAAGAGCAATGTTGAAGTGAGCCTCCGCCTCCTCAGGAGTCTGCAGCAGGGGGTGCGCCACGCGCATGCGCACGTCCAGCTCACCCACTCCCTCCAGAGACACCGTGTAGCGATCCACGTCAAACGGCCCCTCCCGCCCCTCCGCCACCTTGGTCACCACCACTCCCCCCTCCGCCTCCACTGCTTCTTCCATGAGGCGAGGTGGTGCCACGTCAGCGCCGTCCACCTGCATGAGAGCGAGGAAGCCGTTGGCCCCCCTGTCCTGCTGGTTGCCTGTGCGCGCCACCATGCGCAGCGAGTGCTGCTTGCCGCCAGATGACACCCACACCACTCCCACCTCCCTGTGGCCACACAGCACACAGGAGAAGATCAGGAGGAGCATGGGGACGGTGAAATTAGGGAACGGAAAAGCCAGAGGAAATGAGAAAAGCAAGCAATCTCATGAGCCGAAAGAAAACCCGCAGGGAAGTCACAGCAGGAAGCAATGAGAGGAGAAAGAAAGAGAGGAGAAAGATAAAGAGAAACAGAAGCACCAGAGGCGCCATGAACACCATACTTGATCCAGGTGTGCAGGCCAGTGCTAGGCGCAACAGCAGCAGCAGAAGCAGCACCAGCCACAGCAGGAGGAATGCCCTGGTACCCATCGAGCAGCATGTTGACATGCACACGCTCGTCCGACAGCAGGCAGAACGCCTTGTTCAGCCGTCCAGTGAAGTCAAAGTGCGTCCCGTGTGCGCCCGTCAGGTGCGGGTCGTTTTCCACCGTCGCCTTGCCGTTGCACAGCCCGCCCACCCAGCTCAGCGGGAAATACGGCGCCATGGCCGCCTGCTCCTTCCTGTCACCTGCGTACGGGTGGGACAGGCCGCCTGACATGCCCGTGCCCGCGTTTTTCTGCAGCAGGTAGCACTGCACGCCGTCGCGGAAGTTCTTCACGTTCGCGTTGTCCTCGATACGAGGGCTCACGAAAAAGTGGTACTCGTAACAGTCCATGGATTTCGCGCACGCCGCGCAGCACTTGGCGAGGGTGTTGCCCTTGGTGCTGGTTACCACCTCGACGAAATTTCCCACCTCCTGGAAGATCTCGAGGTTCAGGGGGCCTGATCCGGGCTTCTGGGGTTTCACTTTGCCGCCCTGGCTGTTGAACATGCCCTTGAAGTAGCCAATCAGCGAGTACTTGCGGAAATTTTGCTCCGTGATGTTGTATTTCTCGAGATTGACGAGCTTCTGGCACACCTTGGTGACGTGGCACCCGCCAGGCGGGACATTGCACGCCGTGGCGGCGACGGCGAGGAGAGAGAGGATGGCGAAAAGGATAGCAGCACGAGCCATGGTGAGTACTAGCGAACAGGGGAGAAACCTTATGTTGATGGGAGAGCTACGGTATGTGGAATATGAGGATTCGGATTCGAATGTAACTCACGCGCTGCTGGTGTGTGTGAGAAATAGCTGGCGGAAAGGGAATTGTGGATGGATGATGATGGTCTGGTGAATCCAGCCCAGAGGAGGATGGGGCGAGATTTGCAGTGTGATTGTTCTCAGCGAATTCGAACGAATTTGTAGTCCCCCTTCGCGGCTCGGCGAACGCAAGTTGCGAAGCGGTCTGCGCAGTTGACGAATCCGATGGACCTTTCGCCGAACTCAAAGGATGCTTGCGGAGCGAGCCGCGACCGACACATCTGTTGAATGAAATGTCAGCTGACCACAGAACTCAATTTGTCGAAATCGATGGGTGTATACTAAGTGTATGATAGCGCTACAAGCAGGAAATTGTAAAGCATTATCGAGCATATTTACGGCGAGTATGACAGAAAATTCACACACCAACTTCGAGGGGCAAGGCCAAACACCACTTTAAAAAGTTATGCGCAAAGCAAACCTCGAAAGTCAGAAGCACGCACCTTAGAAGTTGCCTCACATGCTCAGAAGCTCAGGAGAAGTAGGTTCTTCATCTCGGCTCTTTCTAGAAGAACAGACGGACGTCTTCATTGTTCATTAGTTCGGATCGGATGCCGTCGAACCTCACGGTTTAGCCTTGGTTTTTCCGGCTGGTCTTTAAGGCATTTATTCGAACCGCGCGAGGCTGTCCTGTCGTTTCGTTGCGGATCGCGAGCCATGAACGCGGCGCGGGGAGGCGGAGCGGGGGACGGGTCGCGCGATGCGTCGAAGAAGTCGAGCAAGCGCTCCACCGGCAGCCGGCGGAGTGGCGCGAGCAAGGGTGGATCGAGGTGATTGGGCGATTTCTTAGACAGACAATGACGTGATTCCGACCGAGGTATAGGTGATCGTTCTGATTCCCACGGGCGATCCAGGTAATGCGCACGTAGATCTCGAAGTTTATTTTATATGCCTACAGTCGATCAAAGGCTAAAGATCTTCTGGCGTATCATCATCGCCTTGGCACATCATCGGGTTGGACTCCCCCGCCCTTTTTACGGTCCGCCTCGTCCACACTCGATCCTTCCACTCATTCCCTTCTTGTTCGCCACGTCACCTCTCCATTCTCTCTTTCCTTTCCTTCACTGCGTACCTTGCCTTTCTCCTCCCTCCCTCCGCTCAGCGGCACAGCAGCGGGTGAGCGAGCAGTGCGGCGCCTGAGGCTGTCAAAGGCGCTAACGCTGCCCGACACCACGACAGTGGCGGACGCGTGTCGGCGAATGGCCAACCGCCGCGTGGACGCGTGCCTGCTCACCGACTCCAGCGCGCTGCTTTGTGGCATCATGACGGATCGGGTGGGTCAGACAGTCCTATAGCGAGTACAGGCAATCGTCGTGCGTCATTTCGGATCGCGTCACTCTTACAGCGATTACAGTGGTGTCTTGCTGCATTTGTCTTTTTTATTCAGTACCCCTCTCCTCTTCTCTCCTTCTCCTCTTCTTTTCCTCTCTTTACTCCTCTCTTCTCCCTCCCTCACTCTGCTCTGTTTGCAGGATCTAGCATTGAAGTGTGTGGGCGAGGGGTTGGTTGGACGTGAACAGCACGTTGGCGTCAGCTGTGATGACTAAGAACCCCGCTTCCCTCCTCCCTCACTGATCTGTGTTTGTGTGCGTAAAGGCTGCTATGGGTTGCAGGAATCGGCATTAAAGTGCGTGGGCGAGGGGTTGGATGTGATCAGCACACTGGCGTCGTCGTTGATGACCGAGAACCTCACCTTCCCCCCACCCTCACTGATCTGTGTGTGCGTCTGTG